AAACCTGCATGGATGCAACCATGGAACAAAGCAACAAAAATGACCCGCCTGGCCGGGGACGTCTCAGTAAAAACTTAAAAAAATAAAACTGTAGTTCCTACATTTTTATTTTTGCTTTTGCTATAACAAACTTTTAAAGCTATACATCTGCAGCTAAAAACTACTCACAGTTTAGGTTTGCTCACTCTGAACAGTGAGCATGTAGCCATTGAGTAGTTTTCAACATGAAGTTTTCTTCTCACTTCCTAAAAGGTCACTTCTTTCTTCTGTTGAACAAGATGAAGGACATTAACGTTATTGATTTCTGAAAACTTGACTTTAATATCAAGTTGGGGCAAAAAATAAGATCTGTCTTTATGACAAACAGTTAAAAACAGAACATTGTGCAAAATATGAGCACTATGAACTTAGCGATGACATTAGATTAATAATGTCTAATTTAACTAAATAAATTCAATAATGTCCAAGTAATAATCATACTATTTATTTAAAAAAATAACAATAATTGTTTCCGCCCGGTTTCGAACCGGGGACCTTTCGCGTGTTAGGCGAACGTGATAACCACTACACTACGGAAACCTGCATGCATTGTAAATGCCAAAATATAGTTTTGTACTGTACAACCACAGAAGTATTTACTACTCACGTAACTTTTAATTCTGCATTTACATCAATCGCAGTTTTGGTTCCTCGACAATGTAGTTTTTCACTTGCTTTAGGGGGGTCAGTGGAGCTGCTTTTCAGTGGATCGTTCTTTACATTACACTAAAGCAATACTAATCTAACTAGAAACATTAACGTAAGTTCACCAGTAACGTTATCTTACTACCGCCTCTAACGTTACTCCTCTCTCTGCATCAAATGCTGAGTATGAACCATAGTTTTATACATTTTATTTTTCTTTAGATATAAAGCTGCTTAATCTACATGGTAAACAGCAGAATGTTCAAGGACATACTCAAACGACACTACGGAAACCCGCATGCATTGTAGATGGCAAAATTTGGTAATTTACTGTACATCTACATAATGAGTATTTAATGCTCAGCTAACTAATAAAGTACTACTATATAGGATAAAGAATAAGGTAGATGATTTGCAGTGGTAGATTTAGGGACAGTATCTAGTTATTACCCAGTCCAAATGACACTAACGTTAAATATTTGAAGCAAAAAAAAAGTGCACGTTATAGGTTAACTTGCGTGATTCAGTAACTCAAGTTAGGCCTATAACGTAGACTATCTTAATTAATCGCACGAGATAAAAAAAAAAATAACATTATATTCGAAAATATATTTGAAAATTTAGTAAAGGAATGCTTTGGGAACGTTTTGGAAACATTTAAAGAACGTTTCCTGACTTTTCTCCTCAGAAGATTCTTGTTAATCCTTCCAGTCCAAAGATAAAACAAAATGCGTGTAACATATGCATGAAACACCATGGTTTTGTCCTAATCTTAGACTATACAGTAGTAGTTAAGAGCCATTTCACTTAAATATCGCATGAATTACGTTAGTTTTATCAACCCAAATGTTACGTTAATGTTAGTGTCCCGCGCGGTATGAGGCCTAACGTAACTTAGTCGTGAAATGTGGTCCAATTACGACAAATTAACGACTAAATTCAATCTTAAACTTAAGTCGCTGTACTGGATATTGTTTTATATGTTCTATAAGTTACATATGTATGTACATAATTGTAATTAGCATTCAGATTTGACTGACAACCGTGTTTTGATAAGACGTGAACGTAGTCTAATGAAATTCGACGGTTAGAGCAAGTTAGTAAAAAAAACAGTTTATCCTGCATGTAAAAACATATTTAAGTGTTTATGGATATACTTTGTTTTACCTTTCGTAACTCTGTTCGTGGTTTTGTCGACGAGAGCATGTCGCAGGACCCATTCATGTGGCAGCCGTTAAGAAAAGATTCGTTGTTCGTTCTTAACCGTAAACAACTCAGTGTTTAGCGAATCTTTTAAGTGAACGAGTCTTCAAAATGTTGACTCAAATTGCTTTATATTAGGTTTAAATGTGTATGAATCTTCAAACCAACCAACTTATTCTCTCAATTTATAATATATATATATATATATATATATATATATATATATATATATATATATATATATATATATATATATTGCATACATGGATTTCTGCTTAGTATATTTGATTTGTTTTATTCCAGCGAGATGAAAATACAAACACATTCAAGAGAATATTACAAAAGAAAGGAATATACAAGTTATAAACAGAGAAAAGGTAAATTAAGGTAAAATTAAAATGTATAGAAATGCATCAAAATAAATAAGAGCATTGCAGGATCAAATTTGATTAATCAGGATTTTATATACGATGCTGTATGATTATTCAGAACACCAAACTGAGCAAAACTATACAATTTCTTGCAGATGTTTTTGTTTGTATGGCCAAACAATATATCAAAATTATGATTTTATTAAGCTAAAGCTTGTACCACTACTGATGCTGGCATTTTACAGTTGTAAAACAAAAGCATACACACATAATGTATGGATCCTCATGAAAAGCCCGAGTTGCTCCAGTAAATATGATCATCAACATAAAAGTTCTGCATAAATATAATTTAAGAAACAATTACTAGAGCAAAGGCCGCCTCCACATCTATACAGTACAAACTTTTATAATGATTTCCTATAGCTTGCCTGATAGTAAGTACAAATTATCACACATATGACCGGAGCAGGCATGTAGTAGGTTGTGTGCATAAATGTTTTGATCCAGTTCATCATTTAGAAATCCACATATCCATTAAGTATATAGGGTTAAGATGGTCCTTTAATCCTAATATTCAACTTTACACTCATGTCTGTCTGTCATTCTCTTCCCCCAGGCCTTAGGGAAGTCTCCTGATTGCTGTGAGGAAGTCTGATAGGATACGTCTTGTCTAATGAAGGTGGTATTATGGTGTCACTCAATCATGTCTGATTAAAACCCAGTATTTATTAACACTCCACAGAGAAAGAAGCATGTTAATATGTGATCTGACTAAAGAAACCCATTCACACAATCTCCTGCTCATCATAGTCCATCGAATAAAACAAAATTACAACATGTTCATTTATGATTGTCCTGAAAAAGACTGAAGTCTTAATGCAAATGAATTATTTGATACACAGTGCATCCGGAAAGTATTTATAGGACTTCACTTTTTCCACATTTATTTTATGTTACAACCTTGGGAATTTTTCCCCATTTCTCTTTGCAGTACCTCTCAAGCTCTATTAGGTTGGATGGGAAGTGATGGTGTACAGCCATTTTCAGATCTTCCCAGAAATGTTAATAGGATTTAGGTCTGGACTCTGGCTGAGCCACTCAAGGACATTTATCGAGTTATTGTGAAGCCACTCCATTGATATTTTGGCGGTGTGTTTTGGGTTATTGTCCTGCTGAAAGAAAAACCATCGCCCCAGTCTGAGGTCAAGAGCACTATGAAGCAGGTTTTCATTCAGGATGTCTCTGTACATTGCTGCATTCATCTTTCCCTCTATCCTGACTAGTCTTCCAGTTCCTGTTGCTGAAAAACATCTCCACAGCATGATGCTGCCACCACCATTCACTGTAGAGATGCTATTAGCCTGGTGATGAGCGTGCCTGGTATTCTTCAAATGTAACGCCTGGCATTCTCTCCAAAGAGTTAAATTTTAGTCTCATCAAACCAGAAAATTTCGTTTCTTATGGTCTGAGAGTCCTTCAGATGCCTTTAGGCAAATTCCAGGTGGGAAGTGGCTTACATCTGGCCACTCTAACATACAGACCTGATTGGTTGATTGCTGCACAGATGGTTATCCTTCTGTAAGGGTCTGCTCTCTCGACAGAATGCTGGAGCTCAGGCAGAGTGACTATCTGGTTATTGATTGCCTCCCTGACTAAGGCCCTTCTCCCCCGATGACTCAGCTTAGATGTCTGGCCAGCTCTAGGAAGAGTCCTGGTGGTTCCAAACATCTTTCACTTACGGATGATGGAGGCCACTGTGCTCACTGGAACTTTCAGAGCAGCAGAAATTTTTCTGTAGCCTTCCCCAGCCTTGTGCCTCGAGACTGTCTCAGAGGTCTACAGACAATTCCTTTGTCTTCATGCTTGGTTTGTGCTTTGACATGCACTGGGACCTTATCTAGACAGGTGAATGGCTTTTCAAATCATGTCCAATCAACTGAATTGTCCACAGGTGAACTCCAATTAAGCTGCTGAAACATCTCAAGAATGATCAGTGGAAACAGAATGTACCTGAGCTCAATTTAGAGCTTCACGGCAAAGCCTGTTAATACTTCGGTACATGTGATTTTTCAGATTTTTTATTTTTAATAAATTTGCAACAATTTCAAAAATTCTTTTTTCACAGTCATTATGGGGTTTTGTGTGTAGAATGTTGAGGAAATAAACTAATTTAATTTATTTTGGAATAAGGCTTTGACATAAACAAATGTGGAAAAAGTGAAGCGCTATGAATACTTTCCCGATGCAATGTATATAACTACCTAATGTAGTAATTTAGGATGGTAAAATAAAACACATCTGTAAAGAGGAAATCAGAAATGTTTTATAAACATTTAGTTTTTATTGTAAATGATCAAACTCCATGATTTGTTAAGTGTGAATTGTCATTTGGTAAAAGCTAGCCAGATGCCAACGTAAAAAAAAGAACCAAACAAACGTTGCATATAAGTAAATACAACCCAGGTTATATTAAATACTAATTTGCATGCAATAAGAACAAACATTGTTTGTGCAAACCACAATATACATTTTGTTTTTATTGTTAATATAACTGACAGAGCTAATAAATAAATAAATACAATTAAATTCAAGAAACCAAACCTCTAAAAGTCAAATCAATCTGTTATACTTCATCCTAAATAATTGATTTTTAAATTTGGCGCATGACAACTACAATTGATTTTTTTATTATTACAATAAACAATTTTAATCTAACAAATAAGACGCTACTCCAAAACCCACTAAGTCTGCAATACTTTTATTGTTACGTTTTGTTTGTAGTTATCTTAACATAATAAAATAAGTGCATGTGACACCAGCATGTTATAATCAGCTCAAGTAATTTCTCATTATAAATATAAACAGTTCTTTCTGTAGCAGCACGTAACCTTAAGAACACAACCTTGTAAAATCAGAACCCCTAGCATGTCTTGTCATACTTATGCGAGCAAGTGGCATGAAGAATTCATCCAGAATCTAAGCGTGCGAAGACGACGACGAGGGTTTTTGGGCCATAAGGCTCTGTGAATAGGAGTTCTGGGAGCTGGTTTCTGGTTTTGGCTGATCTGGTCCAGGACTTCCTTCTTTAACAACTGTGTCCATTTGTGCAGGGCACTCAAAGTGAACGCAGTGAAACACCTGGTGGAGCAAAAAAAAAAAAAAAGTGCATTTGGGTTTCATAATTTCAAAATAAAATGTGATTAATTTGACAATGAATGCATGTGATTAATTCACCATTAAAGAGAAGGTAATAGGGGTATTTGAAAAATCTCTTATTTGCAGTCTAATGTAGCTGTTCCTCAATATAAACAAAAGATAAGTCACAATAAAAGTGCATGATAAAGACAGTCAGCTCTAAATCACCTTAACGAGTCATTAGAATTTTGAATCTTTTACTTGTTATCGATCTACAATAATCGCAATAAACACGATTGAAGTGACACATTTGCGTAAGCCCCGTGACATTCGCGTTAGCCCCGTCTGTGAAACATAAACACTCTAAAATGGGTGTTTTATTTTTGACATGCAATAGATACAAAAAAAACATCAAAATCTAACTGACCAATCAGAGCAGCATTGACTGTGTAAATACACAAAACACTTAAAACATGACCGATTGTTATTGTGCATTCACACCAGACACGGATGAAGCATCAAGCATGAGTGATTTGCATGATAAGTCAATGCAAAGATGCGATCAGACATCTTGTGGCACTATTTGCGCAAATGAGGTGGATTGAATGACGTGATTTGCGCAAATAAAGTGATGCGAATTGCGTGTTTTGCTTGAGTTGAACAATCTGAACTTTGGCGGACATTCGTGCCACATTGCTCTGGTAGGGGCGTGATTATGACGTATCGCCTGTTGTTGTTGTCCCAACATGGAACAACAGCTCATCAAACTGGGCTTGGCTCAGACTGAAGCACTGCTGAAAGCCTCCATTATCCAGGTGTAGTTTCTGGAGGAGTTGATGAACTCACAGAGCTGGGTGCACTTCTGAAAGGATCTAGTGGACTCAGACACGGCTCCGAACAAATCTACGGTTTTTCAGCTTTCCTAAAGCACAGTTAATCTCTAAATAAAATCCATGTTAGCCAACCTTGCAGACAGAAGCCCCATCCATGACATGAATCCGTATCAATCATGAAGTGAATTTCATTTGCAAATAAGGCAAATTTGACGTGCAAATGAAGTGTGTAAACTCAAAATGTTCATGCGGTACGTGCGAATAGCACAATTTATTTATTTGCGCAGGCCACATCTGGTGTGAATGCCCCATGAGTGTGCCTCACACAGGTGAGTGTGCTTGACAAAGCACCTGTAGAAACACTCCTCACTCTCAATAAAAACAAAACACTTCCCCATACTCTAGCAATTAAATGTAAATGTACTCTTTTTACTTTTATATATATACAGTGGTCACTTGCTATAACGCAGTTCACATTTCGCAGCTTCACTGATTTTTTTTTCTAGATTTTGACATGCTTTTTTTCAACAGCACATTGTGTTCTGCGTCCTGATTAATGCATTGTGTTCTGCATCCTGACTGGCTGTAGACCATCGTCAATCTGTCTCCTCGTGCCGTGTCTCCTGTACACTACAGAATGTGTCCAGCTTGCCAAATTTACATAAATCTTCGATCGCTAGCAGTGTGACTCTGAAGAGCTGTACTGTATGTTTGCAAGTTAAACCATAATGTTGATGAAACATTCTGCACCAATGGCACCTGCGGCATCACCCAAAAAGCAGAAGAAGATGCTAGCCATTGCACATAAAGTTGGACTTCTGGACATGCTAAAGAAAGGTAGAAGTTATGCGGCTGTAGGGCGCCATTACGGAATTTGGTTTCATTCTATAATTGGTTTAATTCTATAATATTGGACTTAAATTTCTTTTTTTTTACCATAATATTTTTATTTTTCATTTTCAGTTTGTACACATTGAAATACAACATTTTACAAACATTTCACAACAATAATAACCTTGTTGCATTTACAAATTATACAAAATATAAGGATATATATATATATATATTTATAATAAAAACTAAAAGCAAACAACAAACGAGCAAACAACAAAAAATAAATAAATAAAATAAAAATAAATGAACATAAAACGGCTCCTCTTTGTTTTTTAATAATGGTAATCTATTCAAACATGACAATTATAATCATACTGAGTACTTGGCAAAGCAAATATATATTAAGTAATGTATCAATGCAAAACTATAAAGCTGGAACTGCATTATCCATCAAAAATTATTCATCAACTTCTTCCTCTGTTAATTCCACTTCTTTGATATAACTAATGAAAGGACTCCATGATTTCAAATGGACTTATATTTCTATGAAGGTTTGAATTTTGAGAAGAGAGAAAAGTTTGAAAATGTTAAGGCCTGTCTGAGAAAAGTGTGTAATGAGGGGTTTTACAGCCTTAAAACATCTATACACTGCAAAAAGTGCTTTTCTTACTTACATTTTTCTAGTCCAAATATCAACAAATTCTTAAATCAAGAAGCATATTCTAGACAAGCAAAACATATTGTCTTGTTTTAAGAAATAATATGCCAAAATGAAGTGAGTTTTTCCTTAAATCAAGCTAAATAATCAGCCAAAGCAAAATAATCTTATCACAAATCGGAAAACAAGATTATTTTGCTTACACCGTTGGCAGATTATTTTGCTTGATTTGAGGACAAACTCACTTCATTTGGGCATATTATTTCTTAAAACAAGACAAAATGTTTTTCTTGTCTAGAAAATGCTTCTTGAATTAAGAACTTTTAAATATTTGGACTAGAAACAACACAAAAAAATCAAAGTAAGAAAAGCATTTTTTGCAGTGTAACCTTTGTAAATAAAACAAGCTATGTCACAGATTGCAGGTTATTTTTAACCCCCACGATAAACAAGTATAGTTGTTAAACGATGTATCAATAGACTTCATTATTTTGTAAATATTTATTTTCCCTCATCAACTTTAATCAAACAGCATAACCTTCCCTCCCCCTCGAAATTACTTTATCACTACCGGTCACATGGAATGCCTTTAGGGAGGGGCTTTCAGTAATTCTGCTCTGCCTTCATCCATTTGTTAATCTTCTTTTATTTTGTTAGCAACATCCAACAATCTAATTGGTTCCCAAAGGATGAAATCATGCACCACCCTACATTTTTATCTAATTTGAGGACTACTTATAGTGGATGTATGTCATGATAGAGGAAAAAAGGATAAACTTAACTTCAGTTTTTATGTTGACTTTGAGCCTTGAATTAATTCAACTAAACTATATTTAATATAGCAAAATGATTCTATTATTAAATGCATTTTCTGGAAATAACATTGTTTCCTGTCCTTGCAATTAAACCTGTTGAAGGAGACTCTAACTCACTATTAGGGCGTTTTAAAATTTAATATGATCCACACTTTAAAAATAAACCAGGAAAAAGTCCCAGAAATCGCTCACCTCATTAGCTGTGTTGTGAGTTCCTACAATACGAATAAAAGAAGCAGGCTGTCTGTCAAACGTCAGAGTCTGCCATGACCTGGAAGAATAACAGGGTGCAAAAACAAACAATATGTTAAACACTGAAAGGATAACAACATAAACATTTTAATGCAAGCAAATAAAGAGGTAACATTATAAAAAGAAAAGTATTGACTTACCTGCATTCATCTTTAGTGCGGTCTACAATCTTCACCCAGTTTTGTTGATTGGTGGACAGCTCAACATAATAACTATAGCTCCTCTCATCACAGTCCCACAACAACAACCTACAGACAGATTTCACAGATTAAGACTGAGTATGTTTACATGTATACTGATATGCTGAATTATTATTAGTGGAATAACCTGTTGTTCCTGTTTACATGCAAACTAATAATCAAGCAAAGCAAGTGACAAAAAATATAAAAATATGAATATATAATACTGAATATTTAGGTCAGGTAAAATAAATAATTCAAAACTGAGGAAAAGTTTAACAAAATACTTTAACAGGACATCATAATCAAAATAACCAACCAGGACCACCATAAATTAAAAATAATGGTGGTTAATATGTTTAGATAGATTTATACTGGAATTCAGAATAGCTCAACACAAGTGTAAGAAACTCTCTCCTTCTACCACGGTCACAGTTTAAGGCTTATCACAGCATATCAACTGCAAAATGGTTGAAGACACGCTTTCTATGCTAATTAGTTCCATGTAAAATATCAGTAAACTGACCACTGCTTTAGTAAATATTACGTAGTCCCACACAGAATCTGGGCATACAGATTTTAAGCAAATCATTCAATCTATTTATTTACTCATTTAAAGTGTGTAAATATACAGTCACTGGCCACTTTGTTAGGTACACCTGTCCAACTGCTCATTAAGGGTGCTTTCACACCTACACTTTTGTTTCGGAACGTATCTCGTTTGCCCAGTTAGCGCGGTTCGATTGGCATATGTGAACAGGGCAATCGCGCTCTGTTCCGCGCCAAAGTAATCGCTCCGAGATCGCTTGAGTGAGGTGGTCTCGGCTCGATTGAAACGAACCCTGGAGCGGTTCGATTACAGTGAGAAAGCGATCCGATCCGAGCGCGGTTATATCACAGTGTTTTATGGATATGTAATAGGCTTACGGCGATATGAAGAGAGAATTATGAGTATGGCGGGAAGTTTCGCGAGTCTCCGGATGCCCGCAAACGAGTGATGATCACCCGGTAATCTCGCGTCTCCCTCCCGGTCATCAAATAGGCTACGTCGCGCACCCTTCTCACCCCTCCCCACCGCATCTCTCCTTAGACACATCGCGCGCGCACCCTGTCAATCACCATCAAATCCCTACCTCTCCTGACAGCTTAGCGGGACGCTGCAAAATAAACCCTGACACTCTGACCAATGTGAGGAGAGTTTACTCGCACGTGACTTGTTTTAGCTCTTTTGGTCCGATTAGAACCTTTGCAATGTGAAATCTCTGTTTCGGAACAACTGAATCGATTCACAGGTGTGAAAGCACCCTAATGTACATTTCTAATCAGCCAATCACATGACAGCAACTCAATGCATTTAGGCATGTAGACATTGTCAAGAACGTGGCATGGTTGTTGGTGCCAGTCCTTTCAGCTAAGCACAGGAAACTGAGGCTACAATTCACACAGGCTCAACAAAATTGGACAATAGAAGATTGGAAAAAAGTTGCCTGGTCTGATGAGTCTCGATTTCTGCTGAATAGGGTCAGAATTTGGCATCAACAACATGAAAGCATGGATCCATCCTGCCTTGTATCAACGGTTCAGGCTGGTAGTGGTGGTGTAAAGCTGTGGGGGGTATTTTCTTGGAACATTTTGGTTCCATTAGTACCAATTGAGCATTGAGTCAATGCCACAGCCTACCCGAGTATTGATGCTGACCATGTCCATCCCTTTATGACCACAGTTTGCCCATCTTCTGATGGCTACTTCCAGCAGGATAACACGCCATGTCATAAAATGTGAATCATCTCAGACTGGTTTCTTAAACATGACAATGAGTTCACTGTACTCAAATGGCCTCCACAGTCACCAGAACTCAATCTAATAGAGCACCTTTGAGATGTGGTGGAACAGGGGATTTGCATAATGGACAAGCAGCTGACAAATCTGCTGCAACTGCAAGATGCTATCATGTCAATATTTCCAGTACCTTGTTGAATCTATGCCATGATGGATTAAGGCAGTTCTAAGGGCAAAAGGTTGTCTAACCTAGTACTGTAAGGTGTACCAAATAAAGTGGTTGGGGAGTATATATTTATTCAGTTTTTATTTTTAATTCCAGTAATAATATTGCATAACATGCAAATGTTTTAATTGTTTCTGACTTATGTGCAATACAGTTTGTGAAGTACTATTCTCTGTCTTTCAGTAGATATATTAGAGACATGCTTTGTTTACCAAACAAGTGCATTTGCATTGAGAAAACCTTAAATGAAACTTAAAAAGTTATTATTCTCATGTTATTATCTCATGTGCTATATCTGTAGTTACTATACTCCAAGTCATTTAGCATAAATCCACAGACAAATTATGTGCAGACATCACAAAAAATGTGCACAGATTCTGTGTGGAACCAATCACACAATGTGTAATGTAGCAGCATTGACAAAGAATGCAATTTTAGATAGATGTAAACCTATACTAACAACCCGCAAAGCTAAATTAGGAACATTTAAGACATCATAATAATAATAACTCTTGTGATAAACAAAATACCGCATGGAGCAAAGCATGTATGGCTGAGCAAGCTGGATGACGATGGCTCCAGAGCCCAGCTGGTGACAGGTGTATCCCGAGTCCCAGTCGTAATGGCTGGTGTCTCCATTCAGCAGGGCGTTTCTGCTGCGACTCACACCCTCCACCACACTGGCACATGCCTGCACGGTCGCCACGTTCTCTGTGGGAACTGCAGGGAGAAAAAGGCATGGGATAAGTTTCAGTAGGTGATGTAGAGTACCAATAGAGTCATCAAACCCCTTTAAAACATTTTCTTTATTTGTCATACAGCCTGAAATCCAATCACACTCTAAATAACTTTCCCATCCTTAGTTTTTGTAGCCTTCTTCTAATCCGTGCCTTTTTACAACTTTTCCCTGAAAGTCTTTTGAAAGCTGGTGTACTGTGAGTAAAGGTATAGATTTTCACAGATGATTTTCTATTGACCTTTTTCTTCATGTACGAGCGGTGCAGCCTTTGGAATCTTTTTTTTTGGCTTGACATTCGCTTCCACTGATTTTGAGACATTTCAAGAGTTCACACTTAGCTAATAATCAATAAAGCGTATTTGGCATGCTGTCCCGGGAGAGAGCCCTGTGCTCGTAATATCCTCGAGAACGGGGCTCCCTCCTGTTAGAAGGGCGAGAGGGGAATTTGAGGTCAGGTAGGTCTCGAGAACTCCCCTGCTTGTCACCGTGAGAAGTGTAAACTAAGGTTGTATTGGGTGATAATTTGTTTTAGTCGATTGGCTATGGTTTATGTTTTTGGACGGTGGGAGGAAACCGGGGAACCCAGAGAAAACCCACGCGAACGCAGGGAGAACATGTAAACTCCACACAGAAACACCAACCGGCCCGATGGGTTGGACCGGCGGTGTTCTTGCTGTGAGGCAACAGTGCTAGCCACTGGGCCACCGTGTCGCCCGATCAGAAAAAGTGGGAGGATGTAGGGGTGGAAAGGGGGGGAGCTTCAAGACGAAGATAACTGGAGTGAAAAACTCAGGTTATTTATAATCCTTCCGTAATCATCTAATCGGGATGATTACGGAGCTAACAAGGAGCCAGCCGTGTTGATTATAAGCACATGATCCTCTCGAAATTAGTTTATGAATAAACCACACTAAAAACAGCTGGTTATGCTGCTTGATGTTGCAAACTGACATGTTCTTATTATATTACTCCACCTTTTATGTATAGTCTTAAACACACTTGTTTGTAGAGCAAGTAGTTTGACTGTTTCTGTCATTTATTACTCAAAGTCATTTCTCCCGTAGGCAACTGAATTGTAAGTTCTAAAACAGTCACAAAAACGAGCACACTTCCGCATTGCAAAATAAGGTCAATAGGCACTGTAACTTAGGAAATTATGTAAATTAGAAAAACTGCATTACCCAATAAGCCTTTTTCCAGGGTGAAAGGTCGCAGTGTGTACATGCACTCCAGAGCCACCAAGTGAAACACTTTGTTGACGGTGTTATGTGTTCCCACAACACGAATAAACCTGTTCACCAAACAATACATAAACAAATAAGGTATACAAGTCATTTCTGTCCTCTGTCCCCTTTCGATTTTTAACATTGATCATAATATTAATACTGATAATACTGATGCTTCCTTATTTTATAAAAACAAAACAAAAAAAACACACTTATTAAAAAACAAAACTAGGATTCATATATTTTTATGTGTTCTACCTGCAGACTCGTGCTGGGAAATATAGTTGCTGCCATGAGCGGCACAAAAACTTAGAGTGATCCACCACACGGACCCAGTCCAGCTCATCCATAGACACCTCCACATAGTATGAATATGACCTGCAGATATGAGTCAGGTTAATACCACATATGATGCTTGTTGCAAAATGTTTGTACACTTAAAATATTGCACATTCAAAAATAAGATACATGTAAACAATCTGAACCAAGCTTAAATCACAACATCTTTTATGATGAAAGACCAGTAGACTTATTTTTTTATTAAAATATCCAAAACCACTAGAACAGTGTATTGTATATATACAGTTGAAGTCAGACTTATTAGCTCCCTTTTTAATTTTTCTTCTTTTTTAAATATTTCCCAAATTATGTTTAACAGAGCAAGGAAAGTATGTCTGATAATATTTTTTCTTGTGGAAAAAGTCTTATTTGTTTTATTTCGGCTAGAATAAATGCAGTTATTAATTTTTTTTAAACGCCATTTTAAGGTCAAAATTATTAGCCCCTTTAAGCTATATATTTTTTTTTTCGATAGACTACAGAACAAACCATCATACAATAACTTGCCTAATTACCCTATCCTGCCAAGTTAACCTAATTAACCTAGTTAAGCCTTGAATATATATAGAAGTGTCTTGTGTCTTCAAAAAATATCTAAAATATTATTTATTGTCATCATGGCAAAGTGAAAAAAATCAGTTATTAGAAATGAGTTATTAAAACCATTATGATAAGAAATGTGTTGACCAAGACTTAAAAAAAATAAACAGGGACTAAAAATTCAGGGGGGCTAATAATTCTGACTTCAACTATATATATATATATATATATATATATATGTGTGTGTGTGTTAAATGTGTTTTTTTTATTTAACAGAAAAAAGATACTCATAATAGCATTGAGCCACCTGAAGGTGAGAAAATTTTCTCAAAGTATGAGTAAAAAGTAGCCCTTTTAAAAGTACTCGTGAGTTGTGAGCATTACACTGTGAAAGGCTCATGCATTTACATGCATTTTTGCAGGGATTTGTAAACGTAACATTCCATAGTGGATTTAGTTTTTGTTTAAGGTCATTTGGCAATTTCAGTCATCATACAGTAAACATCCTTCATCTTCTCATCAGTGACATGCAGTCTAAACTAGTGGTGTAACGGATCACAAATCTCATGGTTCGGATCACTCTATGGTTTTTGAGTCACGGACTGGACCATTTTTTCAGATCAGCAAAAATGGGAGGAGACAAATGTTATTTTCTTTCCATTTATACAAAAATAATACTGCAAAAACCATTGGGTTTAACAAAAAGAACTTAAAACCTGTAATTTTAATTAAAAAAATAAAAATAAATAAAATAAGAACCAGCTGAAAAGGAAAATATTCAATATGAAAAATTATATTTGCTACTATTGCTAATAATGCTAAATATAGAAATCTAACATCTAAAACAGATCCTATTTATTTTCAATTAATGATTCAACAATTCACACATTAAACTTATTAATTAAACTTATTAAAACCGATTCAGTGACATAATTTTGATGGTTGTTTGTTGCCACCTATTGGTTACACAATGTAATTGCTACAACATTTACCAGCGTCAAGTTCCATTAACCAGTGATTTGAATCTTTACCATAAACATCAGTGTTTGTATCTGAACTATAAACTGTTCTCCCAGTACTTCTGTGTTATTTAATAGTGTGTGATGAACTGAAAACGTATAACAAACACAGATTTGAATGCAGCGCTTCGAAGGATCAATAAATATATGCAAATCATTATCATTTATCATGCATGTTGTGTGGGTTAGAATTGAGATCCCGATCTTTTAATTGTGCAGTTTTACACCGATTGCATTAATGCAGACTAAACAAACAGTGACAGAAAACACCTTTGAATAATATCCTATGAAAGCATTTAGGTCCCACCACAACTTTTTCTGTCATCATTATATTTTACAAGGAAGCCAATATGCTTTCTTGAGTCTAAACCAGGGGTGGGCAATCTCGGTCCTGGAGGGCCGGTGTCCTGCACAGTTTAGCTCCAACCCTGATCAAACAGACCTCCCTATAGAGTTCAAGTGATCTTGAAGACACTGATTAGTTTGTTCAGGTGTGTTTGACTAGTCGGAACAAAACTCTGCAGGGACACCGGCCCTCGAGGATCAAGTTTGCCCATCCCTGGTCTAAACAGTCTCTGGGTCATTGCGTGTAAAGATTTTGGACATCTTCTTGAACACTTTTAATGCTTCCAGATGGTTTGCTGCATTTATAAAGTGTCCATGTGTTCAGCCAGTTTAGTCTAATTCGGTTTACTTTCTATGTGCGATTTGATTGGACAGGAATCACAGGACTGATTTTTCTACTTTAGCCAATCACCATAGACAAGAAAAAGTAAACAAGTGACTGTTGGTTGAAGGAAAGAGCTGAGTAAAAGTACTGATACTAAAAATGTACTCAAGGGAAAGCAAAAGTACCCCTTTTTAAAACTACTCAGTAATTATTCTTAAGTAAACTGCTCAATTAGAGTAATTTGAGTATTTGTGACGGGTTAATTTACACCACTTACTATCTCTTTCTTATTTCATTACCTGCTGTCCTTGTCCCACAGGAGTAGGCGTATGTGGTTGACGATGGAAGGTTGACCCAGGCGGACCTGAATGCCAGCGGCTCGGCCTTCCTCTTCTATGGGGTGTCTGGAGAAGCCGTGGTCCAGATCATAGTTCTGCGTGTCTCCATCCAGGAGGGCAGACTTCAGCTCTCCCTTCACCACCACAGCACCGTGCTTCATAGTGGCAATGTTCTCTTCTGGGACTACAACACCAAACACACAGCATGAATAAACTTTTGTCATAACTTTTATTGAGATAGAAAGATCGTGATTGGATGGGTGTTGGCCCGATTGGGTAGCTTTACATGGACATAGGAAAATTAGGACCTGTTTAAAATGATTTAAGACAACACAATATTTCAGTGAATTTAAGACTTTTTTAAGGCCTACAATTTTGATTTGGATAATATAACTGTTGCTTTTAATAACCTATTAAAAGTGTTACTTGTTTCTACAGAGTGATAAACGCACTCAGCATGCCGCGGTAGTTGAGATCCATGTCTCTGCTCTCGGAGCGAGTCTGTATGGCATCCAGCAGGTCGTCGGGACTGAGGAGGCCTGAGGGACGAACCACATTTAGCATTTCAAAGAGGGTCATCAGAGGAAGTCGGACGGCTGACATCACTTCCTTTGCCTCTGGGCCATCTCCATTGTGGTGACACCAGTGGCATAGAGCCTGAAAGATCTCCCTCTCACTCGAAGCGAACGAATCTCTCCTCACAACTGTCAACAGGGCAGACTGCAGACAAGAGTTTATGCATTAATCTTAATGATTTGGGCATCATGATATTGTGGAAAAAACTGTGATTTTTGTTTTTTCTGCAATATATATTGTCAGATAAAACAAATACAGGATTTTGAAAACAATTACATACGAGCACATATGGTTGGAAATGTTTCACTAACAAATTAAACTGTTACATTTATTCCGCCACTCACCTTTGAAAGAGTCAGAAAGCCGTCTGACTTTAACACTTCAACGGCGTTACGGTCCATGTAAGCCATGCAGGCCTCCGCCAAACCATTCAGACAGTAGAGACTGGCCACATCGAACACCAGACAGACGTTTCGCGTGCTCAATAAAGTGCGGAGGAACTCACAAATGGAGACCTCTAGTGGTTGGAGACCATAACGGTGCGCAAGTCCCAGGAAATCTAACAGTGTCTCTTCTCTGGCTTCACTCAGTGTGGCTCGGCCTGTGTACAGATACCGCAACAACATGGAAAAAGCCTCAGCGCGCGTTTCCTCCAACCTAACCTCCGCCTGCGCCCGGGACTCCCTCAGCCCTCCATACAGCAAAGCTCTGAGGAATTACAAAGAAAGACATAGAAGTAAAAGGCAGGGATTAAGAAAGACTCCTGCCAACATTAGGTTACAAAGCTTAGTTTATTAAAGGGTCACAAAATACCAAAACACATTTTTTGAGCTGTTGACAGTCGTATATGTGTCCCACACTGCTAAAAACACTATTAGGACACCTATATTTCTCTAAAAAGTGTAAATTGGTTGTTTTTGCGTTATTTCAAGCAAATTCGTACTTCCGGTTTGAAACAAATTTTTGAAGCTGCGTCACGGTCATGACATAATAGCGTTGTATTCCAGCGTGCAGACTGGACGTCTGTGCCAGAGTGTGTCTTATTATGTCTTACAGTGTGATGCATTAATGCATGAGTAAAGCTTGGTTCAAACCAATCAGCGCGCTCTATTGTGCAACTTCATTAATATTCATTACTGTCATAGTGTTCAGACGGCAGAGACGCCACGTTGTGTTGGCAAAACAAGCGTGAAGTGTTGCTTTTATAGTTTGCTGCAGTTAAGTTTCGTTTTCATTTTCTCTCTGTGAGAGCTCAGACTCAAGTGTGGATTAACAGTGTACGCGACGCTCGACAACAATAACTTACGTGTCTAAGGAGGATTTTTGTTTACCTGAGAGCTGTTCTCATCTGCAAACGCTGAGATCCGGATTCGCTTGTAGTCTTCTCTTAATAAAGACGCGGCTCTAGTTGCTGTGGATTGTCCCGTCTCTACAGATTTGGTAAGTGAGCGACCAGCGCTGTTTGTTTATTCAGTTCATATTTTATTTGTATCAAACAAACTATTGCACCGAGTGTAAACAAGTTAGCTTTACAACCAAACTATAACCTCTTGTTGGATTTTGTGACCGGAATAACACACGCGGCTTTCTGACGCTACCTGCCGAGTGCATCTAAGTTTCCGGGAAATGCTGAGTTTTTTTTCTCTCATTCGCCGTGCGGTATTAAACATTGCATGAAAATACACGGTTAGAACAGTTCCTCGAATCAAATATCTCGTTTGTGGCGAGGGACATGAATGAATTCCCTGAATGAAAGAGCTAAACTGCAGTTAAAGTCCACCATTTAATAATTTGGCAAATAATTCGACTACAGATGTCCATGTAAACAGTCCCTTTCTCCCCTGTTGGGTGTGTTTTGACTCTGAAATTCAGCGCGCCCAAATAGACACTCCCACACCAAGCCTCTTTTCTTCCTCCGACACTCCTCCCTAAACAGAGCTAGACACGCCCACTTTTCTGACTTTTTCCAAAGTAGAGGTGTGAAAACACTCTGCTGAAACGAGGGGGTTTCATGGCCCTTTAACAAGAAACAATTATGAAAGGTACAAGGTACTACTTTGCGACGTTATCTCAAAATTGATATTGAACAGAACTGAATCAACACTGAATCTGAATAGTGATGAAAGGGACTCATTTTTTGGCCATTACTCACTCTAAATCCATCCAACATGTAAATAAGTTTATTTTAGTAGAACATTATAGAAGAGTTTTAGTTGAAAACTTTTTGCTGAAATGGTTTCACATAATGCAAGTCAACAAGCTACCAACATTTTCAGAGTAAAATTTAGTACCCGTGGCTTCTGACAATACACTGAGTAGAGGTGTGAACCTATACTGGTCTCACGGTTCGGTTACGATTATCATGCCTTCGATTCGGTTCAATTCGATATCTCGGTGCATCACGGTGCATTGACGATGCTTTCCATATACAGTGTTATATTTTGGGGGGAGGCTATAACAAGCTGTCTGAATAAACACAGACACACAGCACCACACTGTCTCTCATTCAAACACATACACAAACATAGACAGCACCAAACAAACAAACACACGCACATGCACACGCGCACGCACACACACACACACACACACACACACACACACACACACACACACACACGGAGACAGGGAGAGCTGAAGCTGAGGGGAAAAAAAAAAAAAAAGAAGCACTTTTTCGACGGTCCCTTACTGAGAGCTCCTCTCAGCACGAGCTCTCCCGGCTAAACACATATTGCGAGGGCTTAAACAGAGCAGTGCTCGTAATGTCGAGTGACAAAAAAAAGAAAAAGACAGCTGTGAAACATAACCAGCTTTGTCTTTTTGTAGGAAACACACTTTAGATCTTTTTAGGGTAAGAGGTTTTTGAGTTATTGCAGTCTATAACTGAATGTGTGTCAGGAATATCGAAAACTAAACCAACTGAACCGTGCTCATTTCTGGCGCTCCCCTGGATATACAGCGCCCTTAGCATTTGCCTATGGTGCCTATGCCACGGACCGGCCCTGATTTGGCTGAGTATTGTAAATACTCGCGCTCACCTCCCTCGCGACAGAGCGCATAGGAGATAAATGACGTCAGTACATAATAACCGGTTATGATTATTACTGAACAGATACCGAATTGTCCGCGTCTGCATCGCGGTGCACCGAAGAAACAATTAATTTTGACACCCAACACTGAGGAATAATGGAAGTAAAAAAAAACCTATAATTTAAAGATAATAGTACAGCTAATAACCTTCGGAGTTCCTTTACAGATGGTAATTTCTCTTCATAAGACCTCAATGTTTCATCAGGAGCCACAGGTATTATTTTTGTTTTGTCTATTTTTTGGCTCTCAAAGTGCCGGTAACCATTGACTTGCATATGCATTTCATGTATTACCAAGGATCACAGTTTCAGCTGAAAACCTTCTTTAATGTTCTACTGTAGAAAAAAAAGCACCCTTGTTAACAAATTTTATAATTTAAAGTACACAAATGACTCAAATGCACTTGAAATCATACATAATTACAGAATATTTTTTCTGTGACAAAAAAAATTCACTCTTTGAAGGTTAAACATTAGTTCTGAACTGTTTTCTGGTTAATTATCATCCCAACTTGACATTGCAGAACATGCCATGTGACTATTGCTGATATCGAATCTGAAACAATATAATGTGCAGCCCTACTTAAGGTGATTTCACCCAAAATCAGCCCAACAGACAAGTGATATCATCTCACAAACCTGAAATACTGGCAGCGGGCCGCTAGAATGACCCTGTGTGCAGGAAATCGCTTCTCCTCCACCACGAATGTGACATCGCTGTACTCTTCACCAGGAACTAAAGCACCGAGCTGCTCTGACAGGAGATGCAGGTGGTCGATCTCAGACGCGGAGTTCATCGGCCGCAGAGGATGACTGTCACTCATGACCACAGCTGGACAACACCTTCACAACTCAAACAAACATTTCAGCCAGTCAGTGAAAATAGTGAATAGTAAAGTAAATAAATAGCATTACCACTAAAGAAGTAGAGCACATATGAGAGTTATTTTATGGAAGAAAAATTGTCAAAAGTGTTTGAAAATATAAAGCTTGGTGAATAGTGAATTCTAGAAGGAATTTGTGGAATATGACGTATTGAACTTTAAATGAAATTATGTGTGAAATGTTTTAAGTTGAGCAAATTCAATGCATTCTTTTCTTTTCAGCTAGTGCTATTTGACAAGCTTTTTGTTCCAAAAACTTTTAGCATTACTCTTGTTCCATATATTTTTTTGTAATATGTGACTATGGATTGCTAAACCATCTTCTTTTGTGCCCCCAGAATATTTGTAGGAAAGGCCAACATTACATTATGGTCAAACAAATAATATTGTGGGTTTAAAATTATTTAATTTTTAGCAGAACACATATGAGAGGTAGGCATGGTCCGGTATGAGATTGTGACGGTATGATAACCTTGGATAAAAATATCACGGTTTCATGGTTGTACAGTTTTGTGATTTCCTGCTCTAAAATATATTATTTTTAAATGTCTGGCTGAAAAAAAAAATTACCCCTTTAAACACAATATTTTTTTAAAGAAATATTTAACATAATTTAGACCAGTAGCTTCTCATGTCCTTTTCTGCTGAAGATACTGTTGCCCTAAAAAAAACTAAATAAAATAGTCACAAAAAAAAACATGTAAACAAAAAAAAACTGTACATTTACTGTAGGAATGATATAACAGATAATTCTGTTATTGTCCCATACCAGATGAAAGGTATTTTATGGATTAAAAATAATGCCAAACCTATTTTAAATAAAAAGTTTGTCGAATAGCACTAAGTGAATTCTGGAAAATGAATATGAAATATTAAATATGAAGAAGTGTGTTAAATATTTTTAGATTAGTTTTAGTTTAAATAAACTAAAGTTATGTTCATTGCATTACATGGCAAAAACTGGTTAATTCAACTAATTATTTTACTTGTGCTATACAACAAGTATTTTATTTCAAATACTTTTGGCATTATTTTTGTTCCACAATATTTTCAATTATCTTCATTTTATAATATGTGATCCAAGTTTGCAAAACCATCCTCTTTTGGGGCTCCAGAATATTTGTAAGAATAGCGAAAATTACATTATGGTCAAACATACATTATGGTTGCTGATTATAATAATAATAATTATTATTATTACTAATATGCAGAAGGATAACACATATAGGAGTTTTTTTATAGAACAAAAACATTGCCAAAGGTATTTGGGAAAAAAAGGCTTGTCAAATAGTGAATTCTGGAAGGTGAATATGACATATTAAACTTAAATACTGAACATGTCTGTGAAATATTTTTAGTTGAAATATTTACAGCTTAAATAAACAGCTATGATAAATTTCAGGCCTAAAAATCCTGGCAAATCAAGTTATTAAAATTCAAGAATTTGTTGATTCAATGCATTATTTTCTTTTCAGTTAGTGCTACTCAAACTTTTATTTCAAATACTTTTGGCATTTATTTTGTTACATATTATTGTACATTTTACATCCGTAAAATGTGTAGCAATAGCCAAAAATACATTATTGCCAAACAAAACACATAGTGGATAAAAACATTGGTGGGTCAAAATGATTGATTATTACTAATACTACTATTGCTATTACTATTATTAGTATTACTACTATATGGGAGTTATTTTATGGAACAAAAATAATGTCAAATGAATTTAAAATAAAAAGTTTGTCAAATAGTGAGCTTTGGAAAGTGAATATGAAATAGTTAACAAGTCTGTGAAATATTTATAGTTGAAATATTCAAAGCTTAAATAAATAGCTATCTTAAATTTCAGGACCTAAAAAAAATCTAACCCTGGCAAAAATACCAAACTAAAAAATTCATTTTGATAAAACTAAATACATTGAGGGGAATAATTGATTTCTTTTACGCCAAAAATCATCAGAATATTAAGCAAAGAAGATCATGTTCAATGAAGATTTTTAAATTCATTAATTCTCAAAAGAGCTTAGTCCCTTTATTAATCTGAGGTCGCCACAGCAGAATGAACCACCAATTTATCCAGCATAAGTTTTACACAGCAGGTGCCCTTCAAGCCGCAACCCATCTCTGGGAAACATCCATACACACACACTACGGACAATTTAGCCAACCCAATTCACCTGCACCGCATGTCTTTGGACTATGGGGGAAACCGGAGCATCCGGAGGAAACCCACACAAATGCAGGGAGAACATGCAAACTCTACACAGAAACACCAACTAACCCAGCCGAGGCTCTAACCAGTGACCTTCTTGCTGTGAGGCGACAGCACTACCAACTGCTACATTGCTCAGAGCTTAATTTGGCACCTTGCTTCAAGGGCCATTTTTTCAGTATTTGGATAATTTTTAATTCTCAGATTCCAGATTTTCAAATAGTCGTATCTCAGTCAAACATCAATGGAAAGCTTACATATTCAGGTCTTATATGGTAAATATAAATCGCAATTGTCACCAGTCCAGGGACATTTGAACTACATTTACCTTAAGCAAAATGTTGTCTTATTTTAAAACACAATTATCACAAATAAAATACCATAAATGCATTTGAATTTTTTTAAATACAGTAGGCACTTTCTTGTGCTTCATTAATAAAATGATGAATATCTATAAGGTTAATATTATGTCCGATTAAGGCATGTGGTGTTCAATATTAATACTTACGAATATAATTATGTAATAGTAATGTAAGATACATAATTATTGAATATAGAGCACTGATAACTATAAAAACGTGATTATAAGTCCCAACACTGTTAATGTGTGTTTTAAATGGCTGTTTTAGCTTAAATAAACATAAAACAAAAACATCAGCGATATAATGCCTTGCCAATCATATTATGATCAATTAGAACATATAAATGAGTGAAAGATACACTGAAATATGAACATTTGTTTAAAAACATCCACAGACCCCTCGGTCACACAATATAATATGCAATGTTATCGTCAAACTGACACATGTCGAGAACATTCTGACTCACCGATACCAATACAGATTTAATCAGTCTCCGGCTGAAGCAGACCGAGAAGGAAACGGTATTTTGATTCCAGCAAACGTATTTCGTTGATATTTCTTTCAAATATTATATTGAATATGTTAAATACACATTCGTGACGAACAACAAATCCATCGGATCCAAGTTCCAACCGTAAAGCCTCTACCGGATGTTTTGACGTCGCAGATGTGTGACGTGTTTAAGTCACAGCGCCGCTAGCGAACATATGAGGTATATAGTCTCTTATCCTCCGGGCCGATAGAAGAACGATTGACTTTTCTGCACTATTTTGAGGTAAATTGTATGATTGAATAACAGTTTTATTCAAATTAAAAAAGGGCGACAGGATGGCACTGTCGCCTCACAGCAAGAAAGTCGCTGGTTCGAGCCCCGGCTGGGTCAGTTGGCATTTCTGTGTAGAGTTTGCATGTTCCCCCTGTGTTCTCCTAAACCTGAACAAACCTCAGTTGGTGTTATCTGTTTCTCTGGATTCAAGCCTAATAATCACAAAATTAGATCTTTAATCTTAAAAGAAAATATGTCTATACCATGTTATTTTTTACTGGAACAATATATTTAATAATAAATACTAGACTCTAGTATGGACATCACCTCAAACATTTTTTATTACAATAAGGCGAAAAAAATTTCATTTAAAGTGCTTCATAAAGTTTATCCTACAAAATAATTTCTACAAAAATGTAAAATTGATATTGAGTTAGAATGCTGTTTTTGTGAAAGCTTTAATGGAAATATTTCACATTTATTTTGGTTTTGCCAAAACACTCGACTTTTTGGATCAATGTTGAAGCTTTTATTGCTCATATTTTAAAATTAATTTCCTAGTCTTATAAACAGGATTTTGGGTTTTTTATGTTAAGGATCGCTTTTTAAAAGATGCTGGTTTTATTATAAACTTTATTTTATTATTATGTAAATTTCACATACATAAATCCAAGTTTTCCAAAAGCAAACTTCTCTTCATGGTGCTAGAAAAAGAGATTCAAATGTATATAAAAGTGATTTCCAAGTCTAAAAATAGGAAAGCAATTAAAACAATCGATATATGCTCCTCTTTTAACATTTTTACATAAAACATGTTTGTATACATGCATTTCCTGTAGTAAAAGTGCACTAATAACTCTTGTTAATAACTAAAATTGAAGAATGTGCGTAATATATTTGTATGTATTTGATAATTATATACCCTCACCTCTGTTTTTTTCTCTCTTCTTTTCTCCTTTAATTTTTTTTTCTCACTTAAGTCATTCTTGTTAAGAAATGTAAAGTGATTGTATTGTATAAGAAAAACTGTACATGCTGGTTCTTGTTAATAAAATAAAAAATAAATAAATAAAAATGTTCTCCCCGTGTTGCCGTGGGTGCTCCGGTTTCTCCCACAGTCCAAAGACATGCACTTTAGGTGAATCAAATAAGCTAAATTGACCGTAGCATATTAGTGGGTGTATTAATGAGTGTGTATGGATGTTTCCCAGTACTGGATTGCAGCTGGAAGGGTATCTGCTGTGTAAAGCATATGCTGGATAAGTTGGCGGTTCATTAATTTGTGGCAGCCCCTGATAAAGATGACAAAAAATGAATGACCGAATATATTATATGAACTTATCTGCATACTTTTGTTAATTGTATTTTGTTAAATTGTTTTAGCACACCAAATCAGCTTAATGAGAGATAAAAATGAAGGTAATTATATATATTTTGCAATAAAAAAATTATATCAGATAATATTTATTTCATTTCAAGTCACAAAAAAATACATTTGTGTTTATATTTAGTCGGGATTATTCTGTAATGCTTTAAATCTGTTAATTACATCACCTGTTACAACATGCATTAGATTAATACACGGGATAATAATTATATTAATCACAAATGTATGATGTTGATTCATTTATATAATAAGCACTGAAAAATAACTTACTTCTTAATAATAATAGGCACAAATTATTCATAATTGCTGAACAAAAATACTTGACACAGAAACTGTGTGTACTATTGCATGGATAGGGATAATAATCAGGGGCCGATACACATTGACGATCAGGGGGGTCAGCTTTTTTGGTATGTTAGTTCATATGATACATGCTTCATTAAATCCAATATATATGTTTGACATCTACTTTAATAATAAAACGTAGTTAAGTTTTCAGTGTTTTGTGGGATATTTAGTGCATTCAGACCTAGTGTCCTCTGATTGGCTATTTCAGAGGTTTCTGTAGGTCAAATTATACAAACTATGCAGCTAATTTGACTTTACTTTTAGGTTATATATGAAAACAAACACCTGTTTAACAAGTAAAGTGTCTTGTGAACACTCACCACGTCTATCTGTGCTTTAGAATGGCCAGTTTCAGACTTGTTAAATGATTTTTTTCTCTCGCATAGACTGATTATGCATTCACAATGGTATGAACATTGTAGGAGTGGTCAGATGTATATTTAAATGATCTCTTATTCATTCATTCATTTTCTTTTCGGCTTAGTCCCTTTATTAATCTGGGTTCGCTACAGCAGAATGAACCGCCAACTTATATTTTACGCAGCGGATGCCCTTCCAGCTGCAACCTATCACTGGGAAACATCCATACACACTCATTTACTATGGTCAATTTAGCTTACCCAATTTACTTATACCTCATGTCTTTGGACTTGGGAGGGAAAATGGAGCACCCGGCGGAAACCCACACCAACACGGGGAGAACATGCAAACTCCACACAGAAATGCCAACTGACTCAGATGAGGCTCGACCCAGCGTCTTTCTTGCTGAGGCGAAAGCGCTACCCACTGCGCCACCATGGTCTCTCATTTTAATTATTGTTACTAATGCTTAAGATACAGATCAGAGCAAACTATTTCTCAGTATTTAATGGGCTGACCCCCATACATGTTGTTTTAATGTCCTTTAGAGAGGGTTCAAGAAAAAATTAGGGGGGTCAATCCCCCCCAAACCCCCCTGTAATTCGCACCCTGATAATAATTTTAATTTTACTTCATTCATTCATTTTCCTTTGGCGTACTCCCTTTATCCATCAAGGGTCACCACAGCGGAATGCACCGTCAACTTATCCAGCATATGTTTTACACAGCGGATGCCCTTCCAGCTTCAGTAGTGGGAAACACCCATACACACTCATACACTACAGCCAATTTAGTGTATTCAGTTCACCTATAGCGCATGTGTTTGGACTGTATGGGAAACCAGAGCACCAGGAGGAAACCCACACCAACACAGGTTGAACATCCACACAGAAATGCCAACTGGGACTTGAACCAGCGACCATCTTGCTGTGAGGCGACAGTGCTAACCACTGAGCCACCATGTCACCTAACTATAATTTATCATTTAATTTTTAAAATTGTAATTTATTTAAATGTATAATTTAATAATAATAATAATAATAATATAGGTAATGTAGGTATGGATAGGGATTATAATTTGAATTCTACTTGTATTTTCCTACTTATATTTCAATCTTTGTTGTATTAACACGTGCTTTACAAATAAGATGAGCATTGAACATTACTTGATTAAAATTTTACACAAAAATGCAGATTGTTTTAAAATCTTCTGGATATTTTTTGCAAATACTGAAAAGTTCAAGAAAATAAAAAAGTCTAAACTCTAAAAAATACGGGGTTATTTTTTTCTACCCAAATCTTGGGTTGAGGCATTTGGGTAATTTTGGGGAGTTATTTTCAGAGTCTTGGGTAGTTTCCCAGCTCTTTAGGTCAAACCAACTCACAGCAGGGGCTGATTGGGATACTACATATTTTATACTAATTTGCTTAAATGCAATCAAAATAGTGCAACATTAACGCAGATTCCTGTCGTTTTCGGAGGATTAAATTGAGATTTATGCTCATAGCAGCCCTTAGTCAGACCTTTCTGAATTAAAAAAATCCTTACTACCACCTTTTGTACACCTGTAATCAAAGCTGCACACCCCTCACCGTACTTCAGTGATGCAGAGTCAAAACAACACAATTGCTGGGTCATCTTTCGCAGACATTTTAGGATCAAATTAACCTATTCTACAAGTACAAAATAACCAATTTTTGGGTAGAAAAACAAACCATTTATGGGGTTAAAAATAATAACCAAATTACTTGCGTTAATTTAACCCCTGATGTGTTCTGTCCCATATTTACCCAGCAGTAGGGTTAAAAACAAGCCAATTTGGGTAGTTTGGGTAGCAATTTAATTATATAAAATAAAGCGTATTATTATTTATTTTTAAAGTATATTAACATAGCATATTATATTTTGGTCACACTTTATTTTGATGGTACATTTCTTGAATTTAAGTTACATTGCATCTACATGCCAACTAATTCTCATTAGATTATAAGTAGAATGTTAGGTTGGGGTTAGTGTAAATTGACATGTACTTGCAAAGTTTCTTATAGTCAGTTAAATGTCTGTTGAATGTCTGTATCAACAGATATTAAGTAGACAGTCTACTATTACATCAAACACATCAACTAATACATACTACTAATCAAAAATAAAGTGTTACCTATATTTTTGTTAACTGTGTATAGCACAGTTGGCCAACCCTGTTCCTGGAGAGCCACCTTCCTGCAGATTTCAGTTGCTACCCATATCAAACACACCTGCCTGTAATTATCACGAGGTGTTCAGGTCCTAATTAATTGGTTCAGGTGTGTTTGATATGGGCAGCAACTGAAATCTGTAGGAAGGTGGCTTTCCAGGAACAGGGTTGGCCACCCCTGGTTTATAGTTTTGGCACACCAAATTAGCTTAGGTGGCATAGAGGCCGCTGGTTCGAGTCCTGGCTGGCTTTATCCTACCCATCAGATTACGCTACCAACAATGTACTTGAATGGTTCTGAGGTTAGAGTGATATAAAGGCTTCATATCACACTACTCTGCTTTAAAATTTACACTGGTAGCAGAGTCTGCTGCGCGGCATACTGCGTCATTAAATTGTGCCACATACTTTTTAAATGGGAGGTAGGACAATCTGACAAGGTAGGTCAAATCGACAGAACACCGGTTTCCCACACAGTCCAAACACATGCGCTATAAGTGAATTTAATACACTTAACTGTATGTATGTAAGTGTATGGGTGTTTCCCAGTACTAAATTACAGCTGGAAGGGATGTGTAAAACATAAGCTGGATGAGTTGGCAGTTCATTCCGCTGTGGCCATCCCTGATAAATAAGGGACTAACCCATAGGGAAACGAATAAAGTTAGATTAATGAAATAAGACTACTAAGACGAAGGTAATTTAAAAAAAATGCATCAGGTAATATTTCATTTCAAGTCACGATGAAAATCTACATGTATTTAGAAATGTAGTTAACATTTAATTTAAACTGAAAAGTTCAAGGAAAAAAAATTAAAACTAAACACTGAAGGATGAATACTGATGTAACCAGCTGCCTTGTTTGTCATAACACTCATCTAGAAACTGGTTGGATTGTTGCCTAGCAAGATTTTTTTTTAATTTGCCTTACACATTTTGCAACCTCACATACTTCCCTAATGTTTCCAAGGCTTTGTGTGCAGCTTACTTTGCTTAAAGTCGCATATAAATGCTAGTGAACAGTTTGAGCTCTTAATCTATTTAAACTGCAAAAATTGCAAACCTTATGATGCCCTGGCACGCTCAAACATGCAAAGTATGCTATAAGAAGAAATCAGAAGATAAATCTGTGATCTTTACATAGTTCATGCTACACGTATTACTGCAAATGAAAGTACTTCTGCTCTCGTTCAAACAGACAGCAAAAGAATGCCACAACAAAGCACTTTCCTTGGTTTATTTGAACAAATATAGGCAGGGTTTTAGGGTCAGATATGAAGGATGTATTGTATTAACTTAAAAAATACTCTATTTTGACAAAGTAGAAGCTTTAGGAGGAGAATGACATCCTTTCAAATATATTCCTATTTTAACAAAGTGTAATTTAAAGAGACAGTACACTCAAAACTGTAAATGCTGCTATCATTTACTCCTTTGAGTTTCTTTCCTCTGTTGAACACAAAGATAAAAAGAAAATGTTGATAATGAACAGACATTGATTTATGTCTTAGTATTTTGTGTTCATACACTGTAAAAAAAAAAGCAAGATTCCACACAATTCAGTGGTTTATGTTAAATCAATTAAGTTAACTTAACAAATTTTAGTAGACTGAACATAAAACAATTAAGTTGTCCCCCCAAAAAACGCAAAAGTTATGTAGTTTCAGCTCATTTTAAAGCGCAAAGTCATCTTTTTTAATGTGTTCTACAGATATCAATGACTGATTTCCCCCCCAACATTCTTCAAAATATCTTCTTTTGTGTTTAACAGTGTAGAACTACTTAAATGTGAGTAAATAGTTTAATTTTTGAGTGAACTATCCCTTTGAGCTGACTGAATGAGGGTCTCTAATGCATTCATTCAAAAAGTGACTATCTGATGACATTGTTGCATTATATTGTTAGATGTAAACACTGTTAGTCTTCACTGCACTGCTTTGCAGAGAGCAACCACCCTTCCTCAAATCACCCATATGTCCTTTATTTATATAGCTAGTTTTTTCGGATCAGGTCACAGCATAACAATGATCTTTACGAAGTGATGGACACCATGTTATTGGGGCTGAGAATCTCAATCCAGTAACCGTCAGGATCCTGGATAAAGGCCAGACCCTTCATTTTACCTGCAGGAGAGAGACACAAATGAAATAAATGTGTAAAAAATGTACACAGTTGAAGTCAACATTATTAGGACTTGCGTGAATTTTTTTCTATTTCAAATATTTCCCAAATGATGTTTAACAGAGCAAGTAATTCACAGTATTTCCTATAATATTATTTCTTCCAGAGAAAGTCTTGTTTGTTTTATTTCGCCTAAAATAAAAGTAGCTTAGAATTTTTTTTAAAACCATTTTAAGGTCAATATTATTAGTCCCCTTATGCAATATTGGTTTTGGATTGTCTACAGAAAAATTAGTTGCACAATTACCTAATTAACCTAGTTAAGCCTATAAATGTCACTTTAAGCTGTATAAAAGTGTCTTGAAAATTATCTAGTCAGATATTATTTACTGTCATCAAGGCAAAGATAAAATAAATCAGTTATTAGAAATGAGTTATTAAAACTATTATGTTTATAAATGTGTTTACAAATATTCTTTCCAATAAACAGAAATGGGGGGGCTAATAATTCAGACTTTAACTGTACATTGAAATATCAATATTAGGGCTGTGCAATTAATCGAAAATCCGATTTCGATTTCGGCTTTTAACGATTATGAAAAGCCATTAATCGAGATAAACGATTATTCCATCACGTACCGCCCCCTTTCCAGTTGTACACGTGTGAAAACTCTTTGCCTCTGCAAAGTTCAGTTCCATGTCAAAATGACTAAAAGCATGTGCTGTAATGTAACTTTTGCAGCACGGGATGCACATCTTTCATATTTTTTAAAGCGCTAAAGTGCTGTTGTGTGTGTGCGCGCCGTGCATAGCCTCGGACAGGTAGCGTGTGTGTTGCTACACATCTAACGCAATCTTAATGTGAGCGCTTTAATGGTGAAATACATGCACATTTGTGTCAGAGCGCGGATTCATATTAACCATAGACTGTAAAATATATGGACTTAGTATCCGTGATGTCACCCATAGGTTTCTGAAGAGCGCAAAAGAAGCCACAAGTAGGCGCGGCCAACCGTCGCCATTTTGTTCGCGCGTCATCACACCCACGGCGGGATACCAAACAAGGGCAAAGAGGCGGAGAGTGGGCGGAGCTACAGACACTGCTGGCATTTTGCTTGGACCTGGTTCAGACACACTTTGCTTTGGGAGAACGCTTAATACTTTATCACCTGCGACTCGTTTGTATTCTGACCACTTGTGCTTGGTTGTATACTATATCAATAAAGTGTTTAGACTTTTAAACACACACTGCTGTAATACATTGAGCCACTAAACATTGTTCTTATGACGTTTTTCAACAAGAGGAAAACGCGAATTACTTCCAAACACTTCAGATGTAGTCTGTGTTAGTTAATGTAAGACTATTGATGAAATCCAGCATAACACTGTATGACAACGCTTCAGATGTCTGTTCTAGAGCCTACAGCTAATCAATCTGTCAGATTCTGGAGTGCATTACAGCTCTAAATATAAATATAAACGATAAATGATCTTTAAATAAAACAAATACATGTATAGAGATGGTATACAAGTATATAACTTTACTCACATGGGAAACGGAGGCCATGTGAATGGTTTGTGAGCACAGTTAAGTGCACTCAGCATGCCATGCCATCTGATAATTGTAGGAAACAAGTCCAAAAGGCAGTTGACTGTGTAAAGCCACATGAAACAACACAGAAATACGATAAATATGCCGAGTTCAGTGGCTAATCTGCAGGATTCAGCTGAGGTGACGTGACGGCGACCAGTGAGACCAAGCTGTCACTCAAGTGGCCACTCCCTTAATTATGCAAACTTAATATAACTTAATATAAAGGAAATGGATGAGTTATAAAAAAATTCACCCCCCTCACAGTTGTCATGAAGGGTAATATTACCTTTATTAACCAAAATCTTTTTTTGTACCAGGCTGTAAACACCTTTTTTTCTGCTGTAAAGTTGGCCATGCTAACAGTGGGCTCAATTGAAATTTGCTCTATTTTGCAGCCAGGAGCGGCCACGACTAGCGGAATTTCGGATGAATTGCAGTTTTAGTTACTTCCGTATTGGCTTCCTGAGGTAGAGCGGGAGGTTGCCGCTTGATATTAACCCTCATATGTTTAATAAACAAACAAGTTGAGAATCAAAAGACACGAGAAAGAGAAACCATATCAGAACCACACTATTCTTAAAGTGACAGCGTGCAATATTCCTGCTGCTGCCGACCGTTTTTATTATTAATCAATAATAAAATTAAAAATACAGTGAAGATGCTTAAAGCACAGTTTAAACAACAGATTTAATAACTCATTTCTAATAACGGATTTCTTTTATCTTTGCTATGATGACAGTACATTATATTTTACTAGATGTTTTTCAAGATACTAGTATTCAGCTTAAAGTGACATTCAAAGGCTTAATTAGGGTAAATAGACAAGTCATTGTTTAACAGTAGTTTCTTCTGCAGACAATCAAACATATATATTGCTTAAAGGGGCTAATAATATTGAGCTATTAAAATAGGTTTCAAAATATGCAAACCTGCTTTTATTCTAGCTGAAACAAAACAAATAAGCCTCTCCAGAAGAAAAAAATATTATAGAAAATACTGTAAAAAAAAAAAAAAAAAAAAAAACCTCTGTTAAACATAATCTGGGAAATATTTATATATAAAAATAAATTCAAAGGAGGATGAATAATTTTGAGTTTAACTGATAATCGTTTTGAATAATCGTGATTACAATTATGACCAAAATAATCGTGATTATGATTTTCCAAAAATCGAGCAGCCCTAATAAATATTATAAATGTGTACATTGCTCACTACTTGTTTAGAAACAGTTTAGCTAATTTATTACTTGTGGAGAAACATGCAAAAAAATAAATAAATAAATAATAATAATAAAAACATACCCTCATCAGGCTTTTTTACAAAGGTCACTCCATTCTCTTCAAATAGCTTGCAGGCAGCATAGACATCCGGTACTGCAATTCCAATATGGCCTAAAATAAATAGAAAAATGTTAGATTATTTACATACTTTAATTTAGTTATTAGTAATGGGCCCTTATTGACGTTATCGTGCTGAGTTAACGCGAGACTTTTATCGGGCGATAAAAAAAATATCACCGTTAATCTATTCTAAAAGTTGTGTTGGGAGCTGGGTGTATTCTATTCCATTCTATTTTATCCTTCTGAATCAAATCAGCAGGATGCCGTTCTGGATCCTTCACTTACTTTGAAGACACTACCGACTACGTTTACATGGACATCTGTAATCTAGTTATTTGCCTTAATAGACAATAACATGATTAAGGTGTTTACGTGAAGTGCTTTCATTAGAGAGTTTCCTGTAATTTTGGGTGACTTTAACTGCAGTTCGGCATTATCACATTCACTCATGAACATTTCATTCATGCCCCCGTGACAAACTGGGGTATTAGACGCAAATAAGGACTGGTGAGAGTGTTATGGAATATAATAACGCACGGCAAACGGAAAGAAAAAAAACTTCCACATTTCGTGATCTGTGTGTGTGTGTGTGTGTGTGTGTGTGTGTGTGTGTGTGTGTGTGTTAGAGCTGCACAATTAACCGTTAAAAGATCGCGATCTCGATTCGACCCCCTAGACGATCTTAATCCAGCATTTCTACGATTCTGCCAATCATTTTTTCAAGTTCAGGAGAGAAGAAAAGGCGGCTGCACGAGTCTTTTCATTATTTCACACACGTTGCTCAGTGACATTAGCCCCTTTCACACAGTGATACCGGTAAATATCTGGAAAATTTACGGAACGACTTTACCGGTATATTCAAAAAAGCGCTGTTCACACAGACGAGGACATTACGGAAATTTTCCGGAAAAGAGCATTCACACATCCATTCCAAAATACCGGTAAATTCTGACATCATTCACCACAAATGAGCTTTAAACGGCTGCGCTTTTATTTGTAAACATTTGACTACATTACAAACTCTGTGGATGATCAATATTGTGAACAACTTTCGCAGGATCACTTTCGCATGTCGAGATGTTCATAATATGTGCGTGTGCAGGCGCTCCCAGGCACATGCAAAGCTTGAAGGTAAACAAACAACGGCTTATCATAAGCATCTCATCGATGATTATTTACACAGTTGGCATTAAGAAGAACATATAAACATGATCTGACTAACTCCTAGCAGCTAAATGTGTCTGGGAAAATATTCAAAGGCTTTTATTCTCAAACCGCGCGGATGTAAATGCGTCTGACTGTTGTGATTGGCTAAAGCAGACGTCTCACGTCAGCACGTTCTAGACGTGCACACGCTTATTCCAGCAATCTGTCTTCTGCATTCACATAGCGCAGCATTCCGGCAAATTGCCGGTAATGTTACAACTTCTCTTTCCGGAAAATAGCCAGAACGAATTTACCGGTATTTTCAAAAAGGACCTGTTCACACATACAACCTTTCCGGAAAATTGCCGGTAATTTTCCGGAAAGGTCTGTATGTGTGAAAGGGGCTATAGACACCTCCAAATGATGTTGAATGAGTCACATACTGTATTTATAAGGTATAATTCACCTAAAAATGTCATTTCGAAATCACACGTGAGCTGTTGTCTCAGAGAGGCCTACTTAATGATAGACGCGCGCGCGTCTACTTTAGTGAACAGAACCTGCATATGTTGCGAGTAACAGGTAATACAGTTGTAAATAATATTAATTTTGTGGCACAGAGTGATCGTTTGGGAGCCATGCGCGAAGTATGAACAAGCACTTAGAAGTCAAAATGAAACAGAAAGTGTGCACTTCATTTAAATACTCATATCACATTTTAGAGTTATGATTACGACAAGCATTTGATATGTTTTTTCTTTCATAATGAACACAGTTGTGCATGAGAATAAATGTTTACAGTCAGTATAACTACTCTAGCCTATATATGGTTGAATATAATCTGATAATGGCAAATGTCTGATTTTACCAGTGAATAAATTGGTCTAATATGACAGATTGCAAGCATATATCTGAAACATAATACTTCAACATCAGAATTATTATAAGAAGAAACCAGTAGACCTACACATAATATTATTATCGATGTTGTGCCATATGTTTGTTTTTACCATACCTTTATTTTACATCTACAGAATCGTGAGAAAATTGTGATCTTTATTTTAAGCAAAAAAAATAAATAAATAAAAAATAATAACAATAAAAAAATCGTGATTCTCATTTTAGCCAGAATTGTGCAGCTCTAGTGTGTGTGTGCGGTCCTGTATTGACAGCCATGTGTGTGGATCTTGTTGGAAAATATGGTGTCCTACATGATGGTAATAGTTTGATTGCAGTGTTTACTTCAATAATGCCACTAATATCTGCATACTCCACACGTCTTAATTCCATTTCTGTTTAGGTCAGTTATGACTTCAAAAATAGAACTTGTGTAGGCCTACACAGTTCAAAATTCATGTTTAACTGAATAAACAGTCAGTAAACACAAGTACATCTTATTGAACATCATTTATTTTCATCACCAATTAATTATCATAGTAGAACAGTTTCTCAAGCAGTTTGTGATGCATTTTGGAAATGACTCCTGGTCTAATGCGCCACCAGGCTTGAGAAACCCATTCTCAAAGACTTACTTTTAGTCATTATTTGGGTAGCACACATATTCTGAATGCCTTCGACAGAATTCAAATAAGCCATTTAATCTAAATCAATTCCAAGATTACAGTAAGATTAATCTAGATTTTAAAAATGATCTATGCCCATCTATAGCTATTACACAATACTTTGATTTAGGACTATATTTTTGCACATATACCAGCACAATCAGAACAAATGTAAAATTCTGAAGAATTATTTTTTTTAAAGTCCATAACAAACATTTTAATGCACTTTTTCTGACCACTAGGACTTCAAATCCTTTGTGAACTGCATTAAAGATTCATTAAGCAAGATTTCAAAAATGCTTTTTTTCAGCAGACCAATGCTGCGTCCCAATTAGCATACTATCCGTCCTAAATAGTAATTGAAAATAAAATTATGTATGTAGAAAAGAGTATGCCAAAAATTCCCAGATGGTAAGGGTGTGACGAGACGCTTACTAATATTTGCTATTATATGAATGTTTTGTTTGGGAGCTTTCAAATATCATCGTTGGCGAAATTCACTAAGTGAAGCTTTAAGCTGGATGTTTTATGGTATTTTATATTAAAGCTAATATGTTGATAAAACAATAGAGAAAATGTCACAAATGCTATATTTACCAAAGCCTCTTGGGTCTGAGTTGCCGTTGTGGTAAGACTGGCTGTCATCCGTTTCTGAGCCCCAGTTACTAATAAAAAAAAAAGACAAAGAAGAAATAGCACATGAAAACAGCTCTATGCAGAAAGTCAGCCATCAAATTTAGATATCTGGACCGGCTATTTAAATATTCTACAGCCTGACTTACAACTGATGATGTATTTTTATCCAATCACAAATGGAACCAAGAAAGGTCTAGTCTTTTAGGAGTAAAAATGAGCCGAGTATTGCCAAAATTATTGAAATGTTTTAAAACAATGTTCCTCAAAGAAGGAGAGGAAGACATTTAGATATATCACCATCAACAGTGCAGAACATAAATAAAAGATTCAAGGAATCTGGAGGAACTTCAATGCATAAGGGACAAGTGCGCAAGCCTAAGCTGAACTACACTAGCTATGTTTCCATCCACCTATTTTATACCTATTTTTATTTTATTTTATTTTGCAAATGCCCATAAAAAAAAAAAACAGTTGATGGAAACGCCATGATGCGCATACATTTTTAAAATGCGCATAAAAAACTTATGCGCCTAATAGGGTTGTAACAATATACCGGTATGACGGTCTACCACGATTTGAACGTGCACGATTATCATACCATGAACAATTGCATATCAACGGTTTTAACCCTTAAAGACCGAGACAGCCGCCCGCGGCTAAAAAAAAAGTATTGCTCTTAAATGTTTAATAACTTTTGATCCGCTGATCTGGTTCATACAATTCAAATATTGGCATAAAGAAGAGAATCTCAGCTTTCCAGTGCTGTATCACATAACATTCGCGGACTTTCAGAGGCTCCGGAATCAGTGCGGTTACATCATCAAAATTTGACAACGCTGATTTGACAAAGAAACGCTCGTCACTGTGTCTTCGGACAAACCAGACATGATACATTGATGCAATGTCCCTCCTCCATGCCCAGATTGGTTTAAACTCGCTATATTACAACCAATAAGCATAGGTTTCGCTTTTGTTTGTGGACCAACACTAAGCTTTTTGAACAACACAGAATGAGAAATAGGCATACATTTATGCGCGGCTGAATAAAACGCAAAAAAAAGTTTTGCATGAAATAATTCTCATACTAAGTACTTTTGCATGCACAGAAACATGACAAAACAGTGACACAGCAAAGACGAACTGCTGCTCTTGCTGTTTTCAAAAGACGCAAATGAAGGTGCAGCTGTTTGTCTGCATTGCAGACAACCATATCCAAATCCATATCCACAGACAACCATATCCATGCTGGCACATAAAACCTAAGGATGTTCCATATTGAATCTAGTTTCATTATGTAACTATTTATAGTATAGTAAATATTTATATCTATTTTTTACTGAGGATTTGCACCATGTTTATTTGGACTTTATTTGGACTTTGACACATTATTTATTATTTTCTTATTTTTTTATTTGTTCATTGTAAGTGGTGTTGTTTATAGTAACTGAAACTATATTATTTGGAAAAAGTCAAATTTGCTTCACTGTTCTATTATTTTGTAACATTTGTAACATACCGTATACCGCGAAACCGTCAAATCGTGGTATTGTTTTAGACGATTATCATACCGTAAAAAATTCATACCGTTACAACCCTAGCGCCTAACTGGGTAGGATAAACTTTTTATTCGATAAGAAAAGATGCGCATAAACTGCGATGGAAACACTTTTAATGCACAAACTCCAGCATGCGCATTAAAAAAGGTCATGTGATTTTGTTAAAACAGATCATGTGATGCTCAAAAGGTGTATGAATGGACAAAACGTCAGGCTGAGCACATTATAAAACATCTGAAATGTTGTTTTGGTCATAATAAAACGCCTTACCATTTCAGTATTAATGTTATTATATTATTAATGACCTCCAGAATCAAGAGCGCCTGTGCTCCACGTCTGACACCTTCAAACGCCACTGCGAACTCACTGCATGTCAGGATTGTCTTCTGAGGCGCATTCATTTAGAAAAGATCGATGCAGCTTCTCCTACTGCAGCAAAGGCAGTTTTTACTGTTGATATTTGGCGCCAGTTAATCAGGAAGTGACGATTTTGGTCGATTTGACTCGTTGGATGGAAACGCTGCTTCATTCGCACAACTTTTATGCGATAATCCAGTTTTGCGCATGAAGTTTATTCACATTTTTGGATGGAAACATAGCTACTGATCAATCGATTCCTTAGGTGACACTGAATCAAGAATCCTCGTTCATCTATAAGCCATTTCAACACATAGGCTCAGGACTACTTTGGCAAACCTTTGTCAAGTACCACGATTCATAGTTACATCCACAAATGCCAGTTAAAACTGTACTGTGCCAAAAGAAAGCCCTATGTTAACTGTGTCTAGAAGCACCATAAACTTCTCTGGGCTCGAGGCATCTGGGATGGACCATCAAACAATGGAAATGTGTATTGCGTTCAGATGAATAAGTATTTCCGGTATTTTATGGGAGAAATGGATGTCATGTGCTCCGGACAAAAAAATGGCATCATCCAGACCAGGGGTCACCAATCCTGGTCCTGGAGGGCAGGTGTCCCTGCAGGGTTTAGCTCCAACTTCCTCAACACACCTGCCTGGTTGTTTCAAGTATACCTAGTAAGACCTTGATTAGCTTGTTCAGGTGTGTTTGATTAGGCTTGGAGCTAAAATCTGCAGGGCACCGGCCCTCCAGGAACAAGTTTGATGACCCCTGATCCAGACTGGGACAGCAACAAGTTCAAAAGCCAGGGTCTGTCATGGCTGTGTCACATAGACTGTAAAATATATGGACGTAGTATTCGTGACGTCACCCATAGGTTTCTGAAGAGCGCAAAAGAAGCCACAAGTAGGCGCGGCCAACCGTCGCCATTTTGTTCGCGCATCATCACACCCACGGCGGGATACCAAACAAGGGCAAAGAGGCGGAGAGTGGGCGGAGCTACAGACACTGCTGGCATTAAGCTTGGACCTGGTTCAGACACACTTTACTTTGGGAGAACGCTTAATACTTTATCACCTGTGACTCGTTTGTATTCTGACCACTTGTGCTTGGCTGTACACTATACCAATAAAGTGTTTAGACTTTAAAAACACTGTTGTAGTACATTGAGCCACTAAACATTGTTCTTATGACGTTTTTCAACAGGAGGAAAACGCAAATTACTTTCTAAACACTTCAGATGTAGTCTGTGTTAGTTAATGTAAGACTATTGATGAAATCCAGCATAACACTGTATGACAACGCTTCAGATGACTGTTCTAGAGCCCACAGCTAATCAATCTGTCAGATTCTGGAGTGCATTACAGCTCTAAATATAAATTTAAACGATAAATGATCTTAAATAAAACAAATACATGTATAGAGATGGTATATAAGTATATAACTTTACTCACATGGGAAATGGAGGCCACGTGAATGGTTTGTGAGCACAATTAAGTGCACTCAGCATGCCATGCCATCTAATAATTGTAGAAAACAAGTCCAAAAGGCAGTTGACTGTGTAAAGCCACATAAAACAACAAAGAAATACGATAAATATGCCAAGTTCAGTGGCTAATCTGCAGGATTCAGCTGAGGTGACGGGACGGCGACCAACGAGACCTAGCTGTCACTCAAGTGGCCACGCCCTTAAATATGCAAACTTATTATAACTTATTATAAAGGAAACGGATGAGTTATAAAAAAATTCACCACCTCACAGTTGTCATGAAGGGTAATATTACCTGTATTAACCAAAATCTTTTTTTGTACCAGGCTGTAAACACCTTTTTTTCTGCTGTAAAGTTGGCCATTCTAATAGTGGGCTCAATTGAAATTTGCTCTATTTTGCAGCCAGGAGCGGCCAGGACTAGCGGAATTTTGGATGAATTGCAGTTTTAGTTACTTCCGTATTGGCTTCCTGAGGTAGAGCGGGAGGTTGCTGCTTGCTGTGTCAGTGCCCTTGGCAAAAGTAACTTGCACTTCTATGATAGCACTAACAATTATTTTTTATTTGCATTTTCTATACTGTCCTAACTTTTTCATATTTAGGGTTTTATAGAGTGAAGGAACTATGACGTCAATTTGTACGCAAAAACCTGAAAGCGAGTTAGCATTTTAGCAGTTCTGGTTCCCTCGTTCCCTCGTTTTTTCAATAGGATTCAGTTAAATCACTTAAATAAGGTTCGTGGCCAACACTTATAAAGGCTGTTGAGACAGATTATTTTGTTGATCATTTATTTCAATTAAAGTATATTATGAAGATACTGCTTACCAGTGCAGTTTATCTGTTTCCTTCTCTTAGTAATGCAAACGTGTGAATAAATGTTTAAGAAATACACACAAATTAACTGTCATTTTAATGTGATCCAGTGATTTTTTGGTTGTTTTTTCTTCATCTGAACACATTTACCTCTGTCATAACTGCAGTATTTACACTCCTCCATTAAATGTATAGCAGATGTGACTGTATGGGCTGCTTTTCGCTGTACTTCGGGACATAAAAAGATTATCTCTATCCATGATGGAACTAGCAGGCATCTAGATTTGTCCCTCACGCCTCATTTCTGTCACCTGTTAAGGTAAGCAGACTGTATGCACGCGAGTGATACACTTATTTAAATATGTCTTATGATAATACTATGTAGGCAAAATTATACATGCATGTTTAAAACTTTTACAACAACCTTAAAGCAAAACAAAATGTATTTCCCAATCAAAACATGATCTAAAAGGCACGTAGGTCTATACAGATGTGTTTTTGCGCATGTATTGGTTTATAATATATAGCGTGCATTATAATATAATAAACAAAGAGATTAACTCTTTGTCATGGAGCATATTTCTAAAAATAAGCAAGAAAAGTTGTGTGTAGTAGGGTGGTGCTGATGTCACAGACGAGCGCCCTGAATGCACTGTAGTCCATTTATAACCTAATGTTAGCTTTTCAGTTCTTGCGTTTGTATTTAAGATCCAAAAGTGCTAAAAGTTGTATTTTGGTGTGAGGATTATCCGGCTGGACAAAACGTGTAAGTGTAATGAACAGTGTTTGAACACAGAGCTTATTATTTGCAATCTTCGAAAAGCCTATGGGAAAATCCTATAGGGATTTTATTGAGGAAACCAGTTTTATGCTAGCAGCCGATTAGCCTACAAGACGACGTCATAGTTCCTCCACTCTATTACTTTCTTTGACTTCCTGCACTGGGAAAATTTAATGCAAGTTATAGATGTTGAGTTTTGTGATAAAGCTATTTGCTTGCGATATAAAATTTCCCTAGAGAAATACTATTTTTTTCACCATTTTTATTAACATTTTTTTATTTATTTACGTCAAACAGTAAAATAAAAAAAGTTAAATAAACCGTAAACATTCAAATAAACAGTTAATACATATTTTTCTTCAATCTTAAATTCTAAAACCTATTTCTAACGTCATGTCATGGAGCAAACATTAAGATTTTTAAACATAAATAATAATAACATTTTTAAACTTAAATGAATCACTTTTGGGGTTTTTTCTTTGCTTGTCTCTACTCACACCCTTATTATTTACTTCCATCTTTCTGCTGTAATGCACTAAAATAGGTTCACCTTTAGACCAGTTGAACCAATTGAGCTGTTTTCGGTGGTCTGGTTTCATTTTAGTTTAGTCAATAGCACTTACTGGAGAAGTGGGTAGAAAAAGAGTAAGACTCCATCTTATTGGTGAAATCTAGATAAACCACCAATGCATGCACGCAACAGACATAATACTTGACAATGCTTGACTTAATGCACCTCTTTGTGATCCAGATATTGCATATGCTGCTATCGTGGTTTTAGATATATTGTGCAGCCCTATTACTTTCCCTATTCCACTCTAAAACTGTATTTCCTCTTTGCCTGTCCTTTGTATTGAGAAATTGTACACATACACAAATATACACACTGTTTAACTAACTGATACACGTCACAGCATTTACATATTGTTGCTTCTCTTGCATTTACATATTGTTGTGATTTAAAGTGCTTCTATTATAATCATTTGCAAGTCGCTTATAAGGATAAAAAGTATCTGCTAAATGAATAAATGTAAATGTTTATGTGGTCAAACGCATTCAAACAGCCACAAAATAAAATGTTGTGATAAACTGCACCAAAATATTGCACACACTAGGGTTGTGCCGATTGACGATAGTATCGTGTATCGACGATAGGCAAAGATATCGCCAAGAGCTGAAACCTATGACGATTTTAAAGACAATATTTAGCTCATTTCGCATTTACATAGACCTATTACAGGTTTTAATTGCATTATTGAATAAAATGAACAGTATTTTTATTTTTAAACATCGTCATTAATAATAAATTAACTGTAAATAATTTGACAGCTTCAGCTGTTCACATCAACATCACCTGACCGACACTTTCGGACAAAAATGAATCATTTCGATTGCTCTCTCTCGCAGCGCGAGCTACACGTGAGGGCACAGTTAAATCTCATAGCAAATTAGTTTGCAACTTTGTTGCCTAAAAATAATAGGCTAAATAGTAAAACTGGATTTAATTAACAAACAAGTTAAATAAAACGATTTGTAAAAATAAAACAACTGAAAAAGAAAATGAAAGAATTTTGAAACCAGCTCAAATATTCTGGAATAAGACGTGTTGCGGTCATTGATCATTTGATACTCCTTGGACAGCACTCCCGCAAGATTATCTCTTGCTTTAACAAAAAAGCTATTTATTATCTTTTTTATATGTTATTAATAGCCTATTTAAGTTTTAAGGGGGCTATGGACTATATTTTCAGTGCATGCATTGACTGCTCCTTCAAATACACGGAATATACTTGTTTATTTGTGTTTAATTCGATAGATTGATAATCACGGACATGCGCATTATTCAGAAAATAACCTATTTATTTAATTTAAAAATAGGCTAATTAATTTAGGTCAAATAGGCTATTTAATAAGAGCAATTGCCGACTCGCCGCAGCCATGTCTAAAATGAAACTTATCCGAAAACAATAAACACATGGGCTGTTTCTCAATTCCAAGAACGCAGAGAACGGACTTGTGTTCTTGTGGAGACCGGTCTTGCCAGGTGTACTCGGAAGAACGAACTCAGGAGACCGCGAGGGCAGAGAACGCGTCCTTTGAGAATTGAGATGCTGCGTTCTTCCTGATGGTCACGTGACCTTCACGTGTTTTAAATGGTAAATTATTTAAACATTACAGCCTTCATACAACAATTTATTGTTTTTCCCCTTTTCAAAATATATACTTCGCATAAAAGCATTATAAATATATGTTGCACACTATAAATAAAACAGATTTTAATACGAATTTCAGCAAACAAACACTCTTAATGTGTTTATTCCTTTATTAAGATGTCCATGGTGATGTTTACTTTTACCGTTTCATTTAGGGAAACTCCTGAGGTAAATAAATGACATCTCTGAACTTTAATAAGAAATCTAAATAAAATGCTGCGCTTCCCACCTCCAGTCGCAATGACTTCTGGGACTTCCAGAGCGAGTTCGGTGCTCAAGTCTGCATCGTTGCGTCCTCAATATCAAGAACACATCCGGGAAGTTTCACGCGTCCTTGCGATATTGATTATTGGAACTGAACTTTGGCAGCTGATGATGACGTTACACGAGAACACGAGGACGCAAGACCGCTGAAGAACGCATATTGAGAAACAGCCATAGCCTATGCCAAGCGCAATAATTGTGTTAGATCTTAGCAAATACAACTGTGCCACTGTTGATGACGTTTGTGATGATTAGACCTGAAGCCGCGCTGCGCTCAACTGAACAAAAACATTGAAAACTTCACCGCATAGTCACGTGCGGGCGGCGAGTCCTCCATCCACCTTTCGTCTGAAAGAATCTTAGAGCATCGTTTCTTCCGTCCCTATATAAATATCATTTCATTTGCTTTCATCAATGTATATTATATCCATTTTGCAGCAGTCCCGCGGGCCGAGGATAACGGCATGAACCCGAAGTCACCATCAAATCCTGTCCCGCGCCGCACTGTTGCATTGAGTCTTGTTTGAAATAATTTCAGTGTAAGCGCCTATTTAGCTTTAAGAGCGCAGTGATTTGCATTGGTTTGAATTATTATCCAAGATCAAACCTCATGCAAATAAAGTAGGTTATTAAATAAGTAAAAAAATCAGCCAAAAGGTTATTAAATATCTTTAGATATAGTTAAATATAATTATCAAATATTATATATATACATAAACGTAACACTGTCGTGCCCCTATGCGATAGTATCGTGTATCGCGATCTCACAGGGGGACGATATGGCGATCTGAAAATTTAGGGTGCTTTCACACCTACACTTTTGTTTCGGAACGTGTCTCGTTTGCCCAGTTAGCGCGGTTCGTTTGGCATATTTGAACAGGGCAATCGCGCTCTGTTCCGCGCCAAAGTAATCGCTCCGAGATCGCTTGAATGAGGTGGTCTCGGCTCGATTGAAACGAACCCTGGAGCGGTTCAATCAGTGAGAAAGCGATCCGATCCGAGCACGGTTATATCACAGTGTTTTATGGATATGTAATAGGCTTACGGCTGTATGAAGAGAGAATTATGAGTATGGCGGGAAGTTTCGCGAGTCTCCGGATGCACGCAAACGAGTGATGATCTCCCGGTAATCTCGCGTCTCCCTCCCGGTCCTCACCGGGCATCGTCGTGCACCCTTCTCACCCCTCCCCACCGCATCTCTCCTCAGACACGTCGCGCGCGCACCCTGTCAATCACCACTAAACCACCACCTCTCCTGACAGCTTAGCGGGACGCTGCAAAATAAACCCTGACACTCTGACCAATGTAAGGAGAGTTTACTCGCACGTGACTTGTTTTAGCTCTTTTGGTCCGATTAGAAACTTTGCAATGTGAAAGCGAACCGCTCCAAGAGCAAAGTGCAACAATGTAACAATTGTAATCTCTGTTTCGGAACAACTGAATCGATTCACAGGTGTGAAAGCACCCTTAGTATATCGCCCAACACTAGCACACACACACACACACACACACACACTTACTGAGTGAGCTCTATAGTGGCTCTACGGGAGAACGTCCAGGCCGTCCTCTCCTTCACATCTGCAGGGATCTCTTTCTTATCTTCGTAACCCAGAAAGTAGAGGGTGAAGCGCATCGAGGGGAAATCAAACTTCTGTAACAGCCTACAAATAAAACATCCACACATTAAGGCCACCTCAATGCTTCACTGATCTTCACTTTTAAGCAGGGGTACACAAAATGCATAAGTGCATGCACGGTTAAAGGGTTAGTTCGATTACTTTTGTGTGGCAAAAACACCACAACAGTTCAGGGTGCACGTTTACTATGGGCAATAGGTCAGCAGCACAGCACAAGCATTATATTGCTCATAATAAATGCGCACCATGTGGAAGACTAAAGTTTTTGGTGCGCAAAAGTGTTCTTGGAGCTTCGTATCATTACAGTTGAATCACATAAAATCTTTTGACAACGTTTTCGGTTCCTCTTCTGGACTCTTTTTGCAGTCTATGGAGGTTGAGAGAGCTTTGGGATTTTATCTAAAATAACTTAATTTGTGTTCTGAAGATGAATGAAGGTCTCAGGGGATTGAAATGACTTGAGGATGAGTAATTAATAATGCAACTGTCATTTTAGGGTAAACTAATAATTTAAAATAAAAAAATGCAGGACTACGACGGAGCTAAAGAAGCACTTTTGCATAGCAACTCTTGCCATTTTGGAACCTCATCAACCAAGTGCAAAATGTGTAGAGTGTAAAATTATGCACATGTTTTCCTTATATAAATTAATTTGTTTAGGATGTAGCGGTGCCGGCATGCTTTGGATTTAGTTCATGTTACCTCAGATTTAATTCAATTGGGTGTGAATCGAATGGCATGGGACATAGAATATGGGCTTGTGCAAGTTTACATGCTTGTGGTTTGGAAGAAGAATGTAATATAAAGCTGTTCTCTGTGTGCAGATTTAGTTGCAGTCAATGTCGGACTTTACAAAGAAGTTGCTTCCAATGAACTTCAGATGGTGGCAACCGGGATCTCTCTAGTGCACAAACTGTGGACCGGCCACAACCTAGAAAACTGATTCACCTGATAGAAATCTTATATGTGACATGCAAATCACATATTTAGAATACAAGTTCATATTTAGATTTTAAAGATATGCAGCACATATATATGCTCATAAACATACACCTACTGGCCACTTTATTAGGTACAACTTACTAGTACCCAAGTACCTTCTGCCTTTAGAACTGTGTTAATCCTTCATGGCATAGATCCATAAAATTCCTCAGAGATTTTGGTTCATATTGACACGAAATCCAATTCCTGTGTGAATTGTAGCCTCAGTTTTCTGTTCTTAGCTGATAGGAGTGGCACCCGGTGTGGTCTTCAGCTGCTATAGCCCATTCGTCTCAAGGTTGGACTTGTGTGTTCAGAGATGCTCTTCTGCAGACCTCGGTTGTAACGAGTGCTTATTTGAGTGACTGTTGCCTTTTTATCATCTGGAACCAGTCTGGCCATTCTCCTCTGGCATCAACAAGGCATTTGCGCCCACAGAACTGTCGCTCACTGGATATTTTCTCTTCTTCAGACCATTCTCTGTAAACCCTAGCACCAACAACCATGCCACGTTCAAAGTCGTTAACAAGCAGTTGGACAGGTGTACCTAACAAAGTGGCCAGTGTGCAACATATATTTCAAAACATTGCAAAAATGATTATTTATATATGCATAGTCAATGCAAACTGGACAGCGCCAATGCAAAATGCAATGCGCATGTGTTGCGAATGCACAGAATTTTAATCTTTTTGGAAACATGCTTTAAGAAACAGAGCAATCACATTAGATTGGGGCATTTAATCAATACAGCTAAAATTGTATTTTGTTTCTACGTGCACTTTTTGAACATTTGGGCTTTTATAAATTAATTAAGACTAACATAAATCAGTCCAAGACACTGTGTGTTGTGAGATCAGTCTCTTTTACACTAGTACACTCACGTCATTCCCAGGATCCGTGTGTAGAAATCCAGGGATTTAACCGGATCCTTCACCCGCAGCATTGTCTGCTGCATCATGAAGTCCTACAGGAGACAAATTAAATGTATAATTTATTAATTAATGCAAAAAAGTTAAAACACAAAAAATATAATCTACAAGACAGAGACCCAAAAAGGGGAACAAAAAGATAATTTTGAAAAGCACATTATTTTCGTCCTCTGAAAGCATTTGAGAGTCTTTGTTTTTTTTAATTTTGTTTTGTTTTGGATCTTTGTCTTGCTGAAATGTCCACCCTGGTTTCATCTTCATCATCATGCTAATATAAATGTTGGACTGAAGCAGTTGATTTTCATTTAAAATGAGGAAGGGCAGAGGATTGCAAAAGAACTACTGAGAGACTTCAGCTGCTGCTTGGGCTTTCACTACCTTTCTACCCCTCCCTTTCTTCATGTGTTCAATACTTTTTCCCAGCATCATTTCATTTTATTACACATAACTTCATTTATAAACTAATTAGATTAGTTTTCTTTGCATGAATGGATTTCTTTGATTGTTTTCCAGGGAAAACTTCAAGCCAACAGCACCTTTAGAAATAATTTTTTTTTTTTTTAGAAAAACAGTGAACAGCTGTTCTCTGTGTGCAGACTGAGTCGCAGTCAATGTTGGACTTTACAAAGAAGTTGCTTCCAATTGCTCTTCTGTATACCTTGGTTGTAGTGAGCGGTTATTTGAGTTACTGTTGCCTTTCTATCAGCTGGAACATGTCTGGCCATTCTCCTCTGACATTGCGAAGGCATTTGCGACCACAGAACTGCCACTAACTGCATATTCTCTGGTTTTTGAACCATTCTCTGTAAACCCAAGAGATCGTGCATTAAAATCCCAGTAGATCAGCAGTTTCTAAAATACTCAGACCAGCTCTTCTGGTACCAACAACCATGCCACGTTTAAAGTCACTTACTTATGTTGGAATATAAGGTCAATTCCATGCGTGTTCAATAAGAAAAGGTCTGGAGAGGGTTTTCTTCAATGCCAAAAATATTAGTAATTTATTAGATACAAATGAATAATTCGATGACAGAGCTCTGGGTTACGTAACGTTACCCCAATGCAATACAAGAATTACATTCAAGAGGTTCGCAACTAACATACATTTCCTTGACTCCAGCATATATACACAACTGATATTAACAGGTGGAGTTTTTGTGTAACGTCACTCATCAGTCATTCTGCAGTCCTTTGGATCTTGTACCCAGACATACTTCCTCTTTCTGCAACCTTTCTCTGCATACCAGAACTGAACAGTTACGTGCATCTTAAATATATTTCACAACTTCTACAAGCATCATGCTCCTTGTGACATGTCTTGACTTTGTTTTTTCCACACTTACATCACCTTTCTTCTGCATGTTGATGCTAGGCTTGAACTGCAGCAGATCGTCTTGACCATGTCTACATGCCTAAATGCACTGAGTTGCTGCCATGTGATTGGCTGATTAGAAATTTAAGTTAACAAGCAGTTGGACAGGTATACCTGATAAAGTGGCCGGTGAGTGTATATAAAACGGTAATGCAAGAATATTCCTTTTTAAATACTTGTTCAATCCATTTCTTGTCTAAATCTTTGTGAAAATTCCCTGATATCTCAATATGTAGCATTCTAGTTAAAGTATGGGACACCAGAGAAGTCACAGGTCAGGATTTCCTGACTTTAAAATGTCAAAGGTCGTTGGAGAATCTTATATCAACCTGCATTACAAACAGAACCACCCATATGTTCATTTTCTTTCTCATATGACTCAGCAATATTACATTACAACATTACACAAATATATACTTGATCAAAGTCTGCTGAGATGCTAACAGAGAGGCTGAGAAAGCTCTATTGAATAGCATTTATGTGTTGTGAATCTATTTTTTCCTGCAGTATTGTGATTGTTGAGGTAAAGTTGATTTTATATTCGCACATTCTCATTAATAATATCATTTTAGAAAAGTATTCTTTGCAATAGGTAAATCATACAAGCAGCCAATGACTATCATCATTGTTTAGAGTCAATAATATAGTGCTAATGTTGTTTTGAAGTCATACTTACATGCGATTTCTGCCCCAATATTTAAAGTAGCTTGGTAAACAATATAAAGAAGTTGTGACTGATCATAAAATGAACGAATTCGTGCGAATAAGAATCCAACTTTACCTCAATTGTTGAGAGTTAACGTTGTACTTAAAGCAGAACAGGGGGAAAGCGACGATCTTCGTGTTTGATCGACAGGTTCCGCCCGAGTTCATGATCCAAAAAAAAGCGTCTTACTTTAGTGATGGAGCTTCCCTCTTTACACGCGGCGGCTGCAGCCTCGTTTGTCACCCCTTGGTCGGTCATTTTTAGGTGTGTTTCGGCCTAATGGTCACCTGGCGGCTGACAGACAGTCCGACGGAAAGACACCTCGCGGAGGGGCGGGGCTACTCAGAGCAGCGTCAGTGGTATGACGTGTCTGTGGGAGGAGCGATGATGGAGTATATGATGAAATGGCGCTGTGCTTTCACTTCTATTCCTGCAGAGGGCGAGAGTCATGTTTATCAGAAAGTGAATTTGCCAAACGCATTCATTCAAATATACACTCAGCACTTCAGTTTATTTTTATAAACAGGTACTGTTGTCGTGGTTCATTATAATACAGACACAATTTCACTTCTCATATCTAACAGTTATTGAATTGAGTGTTTTTACCTATTTAGTATAGATAGACAGATAGATATATTGATGGCTAGCTAGCTGGATAGATAAATTGTTGGTGAGCTAACTATTTAAGTTGGAATGATTATATTTAAATGACAAAAATGTGTGAAAAGCCCTTTTATTCCTTCTGTAGTTCACCCAAAAAGTATAAATATCTCACCATTTGCTACACGATTTAATCTGCACGATGCACATGTCTGCAGAAGAGCGTTTCTGAACGCACAACACATCCAACCTTGAGCCGGATGAGCTACAGCAGCAGAAGATCACGCCGGGTGCCACTTCTGCCAGATAAGAACAGGAAACTGAGGCTACTATTCATACAGGCTCACCAAAATTGGACAATAGAGGATTGGAAAACGTTGCCTGGTCTGATGAGTCTCGATTTCTGCTGTGACATTCAGATAGTAGGGTCAGAATTTGGCGTCAACAACATGAAAGCATAAATCCATCCTGCCTTGTATCAAGATCAGTTGTACAATGAATCATTTACTTGAGACTCACTCTGAACAAATCATTTGGATCAATTTAGTTGTTTTTAATTTGTTTAATTCTGTCTAAATATGTCGACAGACACAGCTCACTCTGGTAAACACAACAAACAGAGAAGGCATTTGACAGAATCTCAATTTCTTGTTGCTATAATTGTATTTTTTATAACATATCGTCACAATATTGTCCCAAACTGCACACAACAAAAAGAAAAAAGGTACAGGTAATAACAAAAAGTTCACTACATTTATGTGCATTACCTTATTGTATATCAATGTTTAGATTAAGCAAATTAAATTAAATTGTAAAAGAACGATCAACCAAAACTTCACAATACGCTTTCACTAGTTTGTATTCATCTTAAATATACACAAATGCAAACTTGATTGTAAATGTTTTTAAATATGCTAATTTATTATGAATCATTGCACACAATTAATAATTAATAAAATAATAAACCATTTAACAGTGAGTTTAATTGCATAAATTCAACAAATGCAGTCTTATTGTAAAGTGTCAATCAACATTAAACAGTCAGATTTTTAATCAAGCTGCTGGACATATGTTCTAGCGCATGATAAACGTAAAAATGTTAGGTGCAGTGGTGAACATGAAAAAGACAATCACAAAATTCTTAACATTTCCGGAAAGCATAAATAACAAATAACTTTGTGGTACTTTGAGGTCACGTAGACCATAACGGTACGTATTTATCATCATAACACAGATATTTTGAATGTTTGAATTAGTAAATTTCCTATTCCCACATGCACTGCTGATTCACTAATATAATTAAAAGACAACTAAATCAAACTAATCTCTACTGCAATCAAACGACAACCTCAAACCATGCAGTTCTGAGTGTCACACAGGTGAGTGGGCTTGACAAACCACCTGTAAAAACATACTCTCCAATACTTTAACTGACACTTGCACCAGGTTTTGCACCCAACACTTTCTTACAATCACTATATATCTAAAATATAAATAGTCAGTGGGGTTGACAAACCATCTGTAGAAATCCAGTTTCTCATCTCTCAGACATTTTAATCAACACTTGCACCATTTTTTGTAGGTTTGCACTCTTGTAAGAAAGAGTCATATATAAAGTGTGCTTGACAAACCACACGTAGAAACAGTACTCAAAAAACACCCCCTCCTCCTAACTCTAGCACTCAATTCTGAACACCGACACTTCCTATTGAGGTAAAGTTGGTTTTACATTGGCATTTATATTCTGACTTTCTCATTAACAATATAACTTCAGAAAAGTATTCTCTGCAAAATCTAAGTAGGGAAATCATATTAGCAGGCAACGACTAAAGTACAACATTTTTCAGTCAATAATGTAGCACTAATGTTGTTTTGAAGTCATACTTAGGGGAGAGCGGGGCTAAAAGTAACGCAGGGTTAAATATAACACATAAGGTATTTGCTAAGGGTTAACCGTGGCATGCTTCAGAGGTTTTCACCACAGTGTCAGCAGATGTCTTCCTGAGAATTATTGAAAAATTTTGGTAAAATGTAGATGAGAAACACAGGAGAAACCATTTTTGCAGCATAAAATAATTTATTATAGTCAATATTTTTTTATTTAAAAGAAAAAATCTGTGAAAGTATGAATATGAAATCCTATATTGTTGTGATTACCGTCTTCTAGACTAAAAGATGAAACCATTTTGAAATATGCAAAAAAAATAATAATAAAAAAAACAGACTGCTAGCCGTGTTTTGAGAAAAAAAAAAAAAACACGACAGCGGGGTTAGTTGTAACAGGGTGCTACATTTAAGCCACTTTTTTTTTTTGAGTGTAATGTTAAGAACTTTTTAAATAAAAACTGTTTTTAAATAGATTTCTTTTTTATTGCTAATACTACAAATAAATGCATTGTATAATAATGGATGATAATCAATATAAATCCAAGTGTGTTTATCAAATAAATGAATAAACATGGGGGCGAATTAGCTACTGCTGTTGCCTCACAGCAAGAAGGTTGCTGGGTCGATCTTCGGCTCAGTTGGCGTTTCTGTGTGAAGTTTGCATGTTCTCCCTGCATTCGCGTGTCGTGGGTTTCCTCCGGGTGCTCCGGTTTCCCCTACAGTCCAAAGACATTTGGTACAGGTGAATTGGGTAGGCTAAATTGTCCGGCGTTTGTTGACTAACAATAATCAAATGCCGAGCGTGACGCATGCTTTCTGTTTATACTAGAATGCGCATGCCCAGAGTGCGTGAATGGTCACGTGATATACGTTTTTGGTGGCGTAGTGTGGACGGAGAAATGTTCAGAAACGCTGGGTGAAACGCTAGTGTGGACGCGGATCGTTTTTGATCTAAAACGCCGTTTTAAAACTAAAACGCACTAGTGTAAACGGGGCCTAAGTGTGCATGTTTGTGGATGTTTCCCAGGGATGGGTTGCGCTGGAAGGACATCCGCTGCGTAAAAATGTGCTGGACAAGTTGGCGGTTCATTCCGCTGTGGCGACCCCGGATTAATTAAGGGACTAAGCCAACAAGAAAATGAATGAATAAGAAAAACATACTGTGCTATGTAGAATAAAAAATAACTTGAGCTAAGTACTGAGGAAATAAAGCGACTGTTTAATGTTAAACTAAATTTAAATTAACTGTGTGTAATCTGCAGTTTAAAGCATGTATTACAACTAACTCTCTGTCTGTCACAACTTTCTGTGCTCATTTGTAGAAGAGGCTTGTGTTTTGTTGGTAAAAAAAAACTAATGGTTTGTCTAACCTCTACACTTTGCTTATTATTTGACGAAAACCAAAAAGTGTTATTATGTGCCCTGCTCTCCCATACATATTTGGTAAACATTATACAGAAATGGTCACTGGTCAAAAAGTGCGAATACAAAACCAACTTTACCTCAATACAGTTTCTTGTGTATAAATAGCACTTCTCATGAGTATTGCCTTTTGTTTTATCGCGGAATGCCTCCTCAACTGTAAATAGCTTCTGCTAAATGACAATGTAAACAAATGCATTTCAACGTGGTCAATAAGAAACTCGTGACATGCATTATCGCTTATTATATTAGCTTTTGGCTGAGTGTCGTTTAACATGCATGTCAAAGCTGTATTTATAGGGGAAAGTCTTTCCACAGTGTGGACAGGAGTAAGGTCTCTCTCCTGTGTGAATCCGCATGTGCTTCTCCATCGTCGTGCGCCGTGAAAACCCATTTCCACACACAGGGCAGCTGATCTGCTTCCCAGAATGGCAGTCCTTGTGGTGTCTGTTCAGATTGGTTTGACTGAAGAAGGTTTTGTCGCAGTGAGAGCAGGCGAACGGCCTTTCTCCTCTGTGTTTGTATAAATGACTCTGCAGAGAGGTTGAACAGTGGAACTTCTTCCCACACTGATCACAGGGGTAGTTCTTCGCGTCTTTTCGTTTCTCGCCCGTGTGGATGAACCTGTGAACTTTAAGCCATGCTTTACAGCGAAACCCGGTCCCACAGAGCTCACAGACGAACGGCGTCTCTCCGGTGTGTATGCGCATGTGACTCGCCATATGTGTTTTTCGGCTGAACTCTTTGCCACACAGTTTACAGGTTAACTTTTTAACAGGAGTCTTCGACGGACCTTCCCGTTCCGCAGTAGGCTCTTGCTTTTTAACAGCATGCTTCATGATTAATGTCGATTCAGTTAGGACACCAAACGGCAACCTTAAAATGACGAACTAAATTGGAGAAGCAAAACAATCCGGTTTATTCCAACAGAGTCCAACTAACTGGTAAAAGTCACCGCCCCGGACACTTGAAGCTATGGTCTGGTCTTTCCTGCAGGGTTGCCAGATTTTCGAAAACTCCAAAACAAAACTACCCTTATCATAGCACAAATCAAAATATTCCACTACTCCTATATTTTGTATAAATAAATCCTTATTGGTATGACAAACGTGTCGCCAAAGCATTTATAAAGTTTACATTAAAAATAACATACGTATATGACATACAGTAAATAGTAGTAGCATAAAAGGCTATGGTGCGGTCTCTGCAGGGTTGCTAGATTTTCACAAAAAACAATATCAATGCAGTCAGGAGGACACCAAGAGAAACGGCAACCTTGAAATGACGAACTTGAGAAGCAAAACAGTCCGGTTTATTCCAACAGAGGCAACTAACTGGTAAAAGTCACCACCCCCGATTCTTGAAGCTATGGTCTGGTCTTTCCTGAAGGGTTGCCAGATTTTCGCAACAAAACTAGCCTGATAATATCACAAATCAAAATATTTCACTAACGTTACCCATCCGTCAACCACATATTTTATTGAACAAATTGCAATATATATATATATATATATATACATATATATATATATATATATATATATATACACACACATATATATATATATATATATATATATATATATATATATATATATATATATATATATTATATATATATATAACAAAGTAAATAGTAAAATATGAGTAGTTTCTCTTAAATTCAATTAATTTTATTGACATGACATACATGGGAGAGGCTGTGGTCACGTCTTTCCTGAAGGGATGCCAGATTTTCGCAACAAAACTAGCCTGATAATATCACAAATCAAAAATATTCCACTACCCATCCGTCAAATACATATTTTATTGAACAAATTGCTATATATATGACAAAGTAAACAGTAAATATGATTAGTTTCTCTTAAATTCAATTAATTTTATTGACATGACATACATGGGAGAGGCTGTGGTCTTTCCTGAAGGGTTGCCAGATTTTCGCAACAAAACTAGCCTGATAATATCACAAATCAAAATATACCACTAGCCTACGTCTTATTTATCAAATACATATTTTGCATAATAAATGACTTCATTGACATGATGGCATGTGATGCCACTGTGACCAAAACAATGCTGAATATAGCATTTCAGTAAACTGACTTGCAAGTAAAAAATAGTGGGAAAAAGATCTCTTAAACAAAGTATAACTTTGTATAAAATATAATTTTGCATATAAAAGTGTTAGTACAGGTTGTAATAGAACGTAATCACACTCAAAACAACTGGGAAAAAAACTGTGATAAAAGGAAACCATGTGCACTCACAATCATTACTAAAAATATATATATAAAGAACAAAGATTAATAAAAAGGGTGCGGCTCAAAAGCAATAAACTTTCCAGTAACACTGACAAATCTTGGAGCAATGGAAACAATCAAGAAAACAAGTCTGCAGTTTTCAAAATGCATCTATATAATGAATGGATTCTGAACTTAGTATTTAACAGTAGAAGGAGCTCTAGGCTAGTTTTTAACAGCAGACGACACTCAGGGCTAATTTTCAACACATCAGATGGCGCTGTAGGCTAGTTTTTGACAGCAGATGTCGCTCTGAGTTATTTTCATTTACAGCAAATGGCACTCTAGACTTGTTTTTAACAGGAAATGGTGCTCTAGGCTAGCTTTTAACAGCAGATGTTGCTCTAGGCTAGTTTTTAACAGGAGAGGGTGCTCTAGGCTAGTTTTTAACAGCAGACGTCGCTCTAGGCTAGCTTTTAACAGGAGAGGGTGCTCTAGGCTAGTTTTTAACAGCAGACGTCGCTCTTGGCTAGCTTTTTTGACAGCAGCTGGCGCTCTAGGATAGTTTTTAACAGGAGATTGCACTCTAGGCTAGTTTGTAACAGCAGATGTAGCTCTAGGCTAGTTTTCCTTACAGCAAATGGTGCACTAGGCTAGTTTTTAACAGGAGATGGAGCTCTAGGTTAGTTTTAACAGCAGACATCAATCTAGGCTAGTTTTTAACAGCAGACGTCGCTCTTGGCTAGCTTTTTTGACAGCAGCTGGCGCTCTAGGATAGTTTTTAACAGGAGATTGCACTCTAGGCTAGTTTGTAACAGCAGATGTAGCTCTAGGCTAGTTTTCCTTACAGCAAATGGTGCTCTAGGCTAGTTTCTAACAGGAGATTGTGCTCTAGGCTAGTTTTTAACAGCAGACATCAATCTAGGCTAGTTTTTAACAGCAGATGTAGCTCTAGGCTAGTTTTCCTTACAGCAAATGGTGCTCTAGGCTAGTTTTTAACAGGAGATGGTGCTCTAGGTTAGTTTTAATAGCAGACGTCGCTCTAGGCTAGTTTTCTTGACAGCAGATGGTTCTCTAGGCTAGTTTTTAACAGGAGATGGCCCGTTAGGCTAGTTTTTGACAGCAGATGTTGCTCTGGGCTAAATTTCTATACAGCATATGGCACTCTAGGATAGCTTTTTTCCAGCAGATGGTGCTGTATGCTTTACAAACAGCCATACTCTTCTTGCATCCAATTCCTAACAAACACCACTTGAACCAAAAGTGATCATCACCAAATTTCAGAAAGGGAATGACAAGAGTGTTCACAGTGAGCTGTGTTTACATTAAACTTGTGACAGTAAAAGCCATCTTATCTGACTCGCCAAACTAACAAGTGCTCCTCCTGATCAGCATTTGAGTTTACATTTAGGACATTTACATTTTTTAAAGTTCCATCTGCTATTTAAAACCAACCTAGAGCGCATCTGCTGTTAAAAAAACTAGCTTAGAGTGCCATTTGCTCTTTAAAAACATGTGCTGTGTCCCAATTACGCCCTAAAAAATTGTGTACTTTTTTGTAAAGGTAAAGTATATACTTTTGAGTGTGTAACAGAAGAGTATGCAAACTTTGGGACATGCTACTTCCCTGTTAACAGATCATTACGTTGCTTAGTTATGTCCCTTGTCAATCATCTTGACACATCATCCACACTTCTTTCATATTTAATGACCTACCTTATTGGAGAAGCAGCGGCAGGATAATCTGCCATTCACAAGTCTTTCATGCAGAAAATCTCCCCAGTTCTTTGGGTAACTATGCATTCAGAAGTTAGTGTCCAAACACATCTTTATATAAGTTCAACATGAAATACAACACAGGAAACAAGGTTTAAATATGTTCCAGTTGGATAGATATTGATTAACAGTCATTCAAAGAACTTTACCGAAGCCTCTCTACTTGACGATTGGTCTCGTGTGTCACCAAGTTTGTGGTTTGTTTACACTTTTTACCCTAGTTTGTAGTTCTAATCAAATTCACATCCAATGTGCAATGTGTTGTGGGCAATATTAGCAGTTAAAGTATGGACGCTTCTACATTTCCAATTTTTACATCCGGGAAATTTTGGCATACTCTTCAACATACTATGGTTTGGGACATACTAATTCTACTTTTGAACACTATTTAGGATAGATAGTATGCAAATTGGGACACAGCACTAGACTAGAGCACCATCCACTGTTAAAAACTACCCTAGATCTCCATCTACTGTAAAGACACTTAGCCTAGAGTTCCATCTGCTGTTTTAAAACTAGCCTAGAGTATCATCTGCTGTTAAAACTAGCATAGAGTGCCATCTGCTGTTAAAGAAACTAGCCTAGAGTGCCATCTGCTGTTTAAAAACAAGCCTAGGGCATCATCTGCTGTTTAAAAACTAGCCTAGAACACCATCTGCTGTTAAAAACTAGCCTAGAGCGCCATCCGCTGTTTAAAACTAGCCTAGAGCGCCATCTGCTGTTTAAAACTAGCCTAGAATGCCATCTGCTGTTTAAAACTAGCCTAGAGCGCCATCTGCTGTTTAAAACGAGCCTAGAATGCCATCTGCTGTTTAAAACTACCCTAGAGTGCCATCTGCTTTTGAAAAACTAGCCCAGAGCATTATTTACTGTTTAGAAATTAGCCTAGAGTGCCATTCGACGTAAAGCACTAGCCTAGAGTAGTGTACACTGTTAAAAACTAGCCTAGAGCTCCATCTGCTGTTAAAAACTAGCCTAGAGCGCCATCTGCTGTTTAAAACTAGCCTAGAGCGCCATCTGCTGTTTAAAACAAGCCTAGAATGCCATCTGCTGTTTAAAACTACCCTAGAGTGCCATCTGCTCTTGAAAAACTAGCCCAGAGCATTATTTACTGTTTAGAAATTAGCCTAGAGTGCCATCCGCCGTAAAGCACTAGCCTAGAGTAGTGTACACGGTTAAAAACTAGCCTGGAGCTCCATCTGCTGTTAAAAACTAGCCTAGAGTGCCATCTGCTGCTTAAAAACTAGCCTAGAGCACCATCTGCTGTTTAAAAACTAGCCTAGAGCGCCATCTGCTGTTACAACAAGCCTAGAGTGCCATCTGCTGTTAATAAACTAGCTTAGAGCGCCATCTGCTGTTTTAAAACAAGCCTAGTGCACCATCTGCTGTTTCAACACTAGCCTAGAGCGCCATCTGCTGTTTTAAAACTAGCCTAGAACAACATATGCAGTTGAAATACTAGCCTAGAGCACCATCTGCAGTTTAAAAAGTAGCCTAGAGCATCACCTGCTGTTAAAACTAGCCTAGAGCACCATCTGCTGTTAAAACAAGCCTAGAGCATTATCTGCGGTTAAAACTAGCCTAAAGCGCTACCTGCTGTTTATAAACTAGCTTAGAGTGCCATCTGCTGTTAAAAACTAGCATAGAGCACCATCTGCTGTTAAAACTAGCCTAGAGCTCCATCTGCTGTTTATAAACTAGCTTAGAGTGCCATCTGCTGTTAAAAACTAGCCTAGAGCATCATCTGCTGTTTTAAAACTAGCCTAGAACAACATATGCAGTTGAAATACTAGCATAGAGCACCATCTGCAGTTTAAAAAGTAGCCTAGAGCATCATCTGCTGTTAAAACTAGCCTAGAGCACCATCTGCTGTTAAAACTAGCCTAGAGCATCATCTGCTGTTAAAACTAGCCTAAAGCGCCACCTGCTGTTTATAAACTAGCTTAGAGCGCCATCTGCTGTTAAAAAACTAGCCTAGAGCATCATCTGCTGTTAAAACTAGCCTAGAGCGCCATCTGCTGTTTATAAACTAGCTTAGAGTGCCATCTGCTGTTAAAAACTAGCATAGAGCGCCATCTGTTGCTAAAAAAAGTTTACAATTGTTTCAAGAGAGAATATAGATGCATTTTGAAACCGTTTAGATTTTTCGGCACAACTCTAATGAACGCTCAACCTTTGGCCGAGTGCGTTTTAAGATGCATTTTCAAGGTGTATTTTAAAGGGAAAGTCTTTCCACATTCAGGACAGGAGTAAGGTCTCTCTCCTGTGTGAAGCCGCATGTGTTTCTCCAGCGAATAAAGGCGTGAGAATCCACTCTCGCACACAGGGCAGCTGAACGGTTTGCCGTCTGAATGAGCATCGACCTGGTGGCGTTTCAGATTGGTTTGACTGAAGAAGGTTTTGTCACACAGAACGCAGGCGAACGGCCTCTCGCCTTTGTGTTGATATAAGTGACTCTGGAGAGCGGTGGAACCAACAAACTTCTTCCCGCACTGATCACAGCTAAATTTCTTTACAAGCTTGCGTTTGACGCCCATGTGGATGCTACTGTGCAGTTTAAGCCAGTCTTTCCGCCTGAAGGCTCTTCCACAGAGTTCACAGACGTACGGCGCTTCTCCTGTGTGTATTCGCATGTGCGTCCCTAGGTTTGAGCTGTGGCGATACTCAATGCCACACAGTTTACACACGTACTTTTTACCAGGAGTTTTTCTGCTTCGTTTTTTCCGTTTGCCAGATTTGGAGACGGATGCTTCCGGTTCAGTGTCTGAAGAACTTTGATCTGATTCTTGAATAGTTTTAACTTCATATTTCAGTCGCTGGCAAAAGAGTGCAGCTGATCCTTCAATTTTACTCAGAACCAAAGTTTCCACATCATTATTAGTGGATTCAGACTCCTGAAAGGACTCTTCGTTTTTGATCACAGGCTTCATATTGATGCAGTCCGGACTCCAAGCCAACATCTAGTGAAACAGACTGAAATGAGAGGTAAACATTCTTCAGCTCATTAAACCCAAATTTTGCATTTATTAATAATACAGAAAGTTTTTGATATAGCTCTTTGTTTAATTGTGAATTCTCCTACACAACAAGTATTAGCAATTCCATGCGAATGTCAACCTTGCCATGAAAAAAAATTAAATTTAAACCAAAATAATGAAACCCTTTCCAGGTTTTTTGTGCAAGTATTTTACAGTACTTTTGAAATACTCAAAAATATCTCTATCAGTGTTTTCAAACTACTATATTTGATTTATCAAAATCACACAAAGTGACAATTTCACATCTGTGACTTCCAAAACGGAGAAATGTCACATCCATAACCAAGATGAATGCAAAAATGTTAAACAAAATAAAATCAATGACTTAAAATCAATGAGCCGTCTCTTATCATTTTGATTAGCATTGTTTCTTTTGGGTTGTGCAGTTTAATTAACTGAATTTCTACAAAGTATTTTGTATACTGTAAACTGCAGACTTTTTTGTCACATCCATAATGCATGTTTATTTTCCTCATTTTAAATGCAAAACTGTTTACAGATTGATATTTTTCAGATCACATAATTCTGTGATGATTAGTAGTTTTGTCAAATATAAACAGATGTTTCGATATAATGTTAACATATGAAGAGTTCAGAATCAGATGCAAAACCCCCTAAATCCATCAGACCTCTTTTCTTGTAAATGAGCATTTTCTATCAGGCTCCTCTGATTAGGTTCAAACGTTTCATTTTATAGATAATGAAAAGGTTATTAGCTGGTAAATAAAATACTTTTTTTTTCAAAAATGTCACTTTAGAAAATTCTTTGTTTTTTAACAAGGTAAATTTTATTTTGCGCCAAAACCAGCCTTCTGGTTCTAAAAACTTCTAAATCAACCTATTGAGACTCGACAGTGTAATTAGCTGAAAATCACTAAAGATGCAATTAGAAATTATTTTACCAAAAATAAAACACATTACGGCTCAATAGCCTAGTGGTTAGCGCACCGACATACGGTGCAATAGCACGTCAGGGCGTCGCAAGTTCGAATCAACATTTCCCTACCTTCTCTCTCTCTCTCTCTCTCTCTCTCTCTCTCTCTCCCACTTCGCTTCCTGTCTCAATACTGTCCTATCTAATAATAAAAGCAAAAAGGCCAAAAATAAATCTTAAAAAAAATAAATAAATAAATAAAACACATTACACAAACCACCTAAAATTAAAAACACATAAATCTGTCAAGTAAGTTAGGGTTCACTTCGCTGTGGTAAACCAGGGAAAAAGCAGAAGGAAAATGAATGGAATCAAGTAAGTGCATTAATCAATAACACTAAAGCTGACATAATTAAATCTTAACAATCTGTTTTTATTTCTAATATTTGTGATTTAGATTTAATGCAAGTAGAACAATGTAAACATTGTAAGCTAAGCTTGGTAGATTCAAATAATGTAGTGTAAAACGTTGTGAAACATCAATTATCTGTGCTTTGTCCATTAATATAAAAAGCTTATCAGATCTAAAGGTATTACGAAGTATTATAAATAATGTATAGTTTTATACATTATATTAGTCCTTTAAAAAAATAGCTTACATTAGCAAATAAAACAAGGCCTACTGGGCAGAAAGGGGATGCCTCTCAGACAATTTTCAAGAAGTCATTCATTCATTTTCAACATACTCAAGGTCATACTCATACTCTTGGTTTCCTTTTCAGCTCGTTTATCCTCAGCATCCACATGGATAAAAGAACGGCATCTTAACTTTGTCTTTTGTGAAACGGAGTTGCTGTTTAATGTATAGTAAATCGTACTCATGCATGTTACATTTTCGACTGTACATTGTGTTTCCTTTTTCTTATAATAATGCATAAGTTTTGAGGTAAGGGACGTTTTCATTTGACATTCACTGACAGTCAGACAGGCTCATCCAATTCATCAAACTCAGTCTTTTAAAATCGAAAGCTGAATAAAGCAGTCTCCTCATAAAAGCTGGCATATCACCGTGCTACTACAATGAAGACATATGACTCGATTTGCGCCTTCTGATTGGTTCTCGGGATATATCGGCTTGCTGTAAAGTGGTGTTTAGAGGCTTTTGCCAACAAACTGCTATTTCTGAATGGGTTGACTCTGCAGTTTAGATAATTTGAAGCAAATCTATTGGTTGATGGTGTACTACATGCCTAAAGCATTCACTCAATGTCATTATCTCATTTTCGGCGGAAGTGGCGTTTAGCGGCTTTTGTCTGAACACTTCATATACTTTCCCTCTGAACTCGTGCTTTGAATTTTTACTTAAAATGTCACATCCATAACGCGGGAATTGCTCACGTCTACTAAAAATGTTTCATTTTTAAAAGCTAAATAGCTAAAATTGTTGGTTGTTTTAGAAAAAACACTGGCTAGTCTAGTGTAAAGCATTGCTTAATATAGCAACAAAATTCTATTCTACATTAATTAATAATAAAGAAAGCTCTTGAGATACTTGCACCACATTTAAAATTCAACAGATAAATGAGCTGTTCAACAATAAAAGGAATTGAGTGTACCCTATTAGTGAACACAAACAGAAGTTATTAGGCATCAGTGCTTTAACAACTTAAAAACAGGAAAGAGTCAACAGATGGAACTCATTGGACCAATGAAGAGACTAATTTCATAATACGAACGAATATATAAATATTGTTTATACAGGAAATTAAAACAGCTGACACTGGGCCAGATGTGTTTTCAAAAGGTACACATTTGGCCTCTAAATTGCGTATATTACAATCACAAATAAGAAAATTAAAAATGTTTTGTCCTTGTGTTCTCTATAGGGGAGTATTTCAATTAAAGATCACATAATAAAATAATAAACAACATTAATATTAAAATGACACACATTTGGTTCAGATGCAAGACAAAAAAAGTAATAATAGTAATAATAATGAAGATGATGATTAGGTAGGGCGAGGCAGTAGGTAGTGCTGTCGCCTCCCAGCAAGAAGGTCGCTGGGTCGATCCTCGGCTCAGTTAGCGTTTCTGTGTGGAGTTTGCATGTTCTCCCCGCGTTCTCGTGGGTTTCCTCCGGGTGTCCAAAGACATGCGGTACAGATGAATTGGGTAGGCTAAATTGTCCATAGTGTTTGAGTGTGTATGTGAATGTGTGTGTGGATGTTTCCCAGAGATGGGTTGCGGCTGGAAGGGCATCCACATTACAAGCTACTGGTCAGTGCGTGATTCAAGAAATATCTGAAAAACAAATCTCTTATAAACCAACATCCAACATGCTGTAGTGCTGAACAGTGCAGCGGCTTTACTTTATATCCAAAGAAAAGAAAGATATCCAAAGATGTTTTTTTTCAAGTGGAAAAGAAATCTGTTTTTGAAACTATTAAAGACAGCAGAAGTCATTGACTTATTTGAATTAATTAGGTCAACATCTTACTGCTTTCAAAATATTTTAAATAATAAAAATATATTTATCATGTTCAATGGGGTTGTTTTTTTTACCCAGACTTTTTAAAATAACTTATTTTAGAGCAGTGATCACAATACTGTGACATCCCGAAACTGATATTTTTGCCCAAGGTTATCATACCATCAGAAGCTTATACCGGCCCATGCCTAATTGCCAGTGTCACTCAATCTAGTAGCAAGCAGCAGCAAAGTACAATTTCCGAGTTGTTTGCTAATATAAGTTAAAAACTTTTCAGTTCCTTTTTAACTAACACTCACTGTAGTAAGAAGCTACAATACAGATTAATGAGCTGAAGCTTGACAACAAAATTAAATTGGAAATCAAATCGAAATCGCAATAGCTGTACAAAAAAAATGCAATTAGATGTTTTTCCAAATCGCACAGCCCTAACGGTGGATGTGTTTTTTTTAGGAGATTTGTTTTTCAGTTGTTTCCTGAATCATAGATTGAGTTGTAACTTGTGATGTGGAGGGTCCTTTTCTATTGCTTACAAATACCTTAGGAACGGTATAACAGAACATTTTTGCGGTTTTTAAAACCTTAAAATCAGTTATCGTCCCATGCCTAATGAGACAGAGAGAGTTTTAATTTTATTGCCATTTCATCTTCTATGGCTATGTCATGGCAAAAAAAAAAAAAAAAACAGATCAAGTTTACCACATTTTATAAATACTACTTTTCTATAATTATAAAAATATTCTTACAATTAAAAGTAATCAACAGTGATAAATAATATACAAGGTAAAATACATAAATAAAAATAATAATAATATATGATAAAAAATCTAAAACAGTTTTTTAAGGTTTGCCATGTCTAATGATGACAAATAAAAATTTAATTTTAATGTCACATCTTAATTATGCTCAACGTGTGGAATTTAACGCAACGATTTAGAAACACATGGTGAAAGCAATAACTAGAAATAGACATAAAGAATCATAAAATGTATTAATAATTTATATTTTATTTTTCATAATTACACGGCACACAAAGACAAACAATAACAAAGCAAATAAAAAATGTAAATAATAATAGTAGATGAAAACTAAAGTTTACATAATTATATACAAATAAAAAAACATTTTACTTCTATAAACATATATCTAATAAAACTCCCTGTTTAATTCAGTTAGTGGCCACTGCAGTATTTACACTAACGTTAAAGATACAATCACATTGCTTTGTAATGATTATATGCTGGGTCAGTTTCTTCTCGTTTTAAGTAAGCAAATAAGTAACTTAATGAATAAACAAAAACACAATTCATTCATCAGTACAGAAACTGCAGTTATCGCGTGAAACTTTTCCTCACACCTCCACACACGACAATGTTTTTGTCGTATTTGTTCGTCGTTTGTCAACTCACAGCGCGAGGACACATTACTAAAACACGGTGTATATGTGTGCTGTAACAATAAAGCACTTACTTGTACACAAGCGACATTTATCTTTCTTCCAGAGAAAAATCCAATCTGGTCCGTTTACAACTTTCTCATGCATGTTTCTTCTTCTTCTTCGCTTCACAGTAGATCATGGTGACCACTGAAACAGCGCCCTCCGGCCATTAAGAGGAACTACACATTCACAGCCACAGCAGTTTGTCACTGAACGACACTGAATACGGTTTTGCATAAATGTAAGTGCTAGGTTTAAGACTTGAGCGTACATGTCAGGGGTAGAGGATTTTTCTTTTCAGCAAATTGCCATTTTTTTTTGTTTTTAATTATCAAATGCATTTTTAAAGAGCCACTGGGGGTGTGGGTATATAACAAAACATTTATTTATTTATTTATTTATTTATTTATTTATTTATTTATAAACATAATGTTTATATGTGCTCAACTCCAACAATATCTCCAATGATTACTTAGGCATCAACCACACAAAAGACAGAAATAACAGGAGGATATTTCTGTGGTCAGAATTATTTAAATTGAAATTCAGCAAACACACACACACACAAACACACACACACACACACACACACACACACACACACACACACACACACACACACACACACACACACAAAGAGTACTTGTCTACTTCAAGAATATCTTGCTCTCCAGCAGACATCTTATCAGAATGGTACAATAAACATCCTTCCACTGGTAGCTAACGAAGCATAGAAATGCTCCTTCATACAACAGAAATAGAGAAATAAAATGTTAAATAATTTAGTCTTTGGCCGTACTCACACTAGGTACAGTTGCCTCGAACCGGGCCAAAGCACGCTTGTCCCCCCTCCCGTCTCCCCCGACGGCCCGCGCTCACACCATATCGGGCCTCGGCACGCTTACGTCATCGCTGCTGCGCTGTTCAGAAGCGCTCTCTATGGCAAGCCTTTTTAGCATTTAAATCTTTGCTCTGACTCCATAAATATATTTAGAGATATCTCTAATTATATTTTGACTAGTCATAATTATAATTCGACTAGTCAGAATAACAATTAGAGATATCTGCAACTGCAATTGTACTAGTACGAAATCAGATTGGAGATATCTGCAAATATATTATGACAAGTCATATTCCTCTATTGACTTCCATTGAAAAATATTTGCAGATATCTCTAAATAAGTTTTGACTAGTCACAATTGTAATTAGAGATATCTCTAACTGAGTTTTTACTAGTCATACATTTGGAGATGTCTTTAATTCGTCATATTTAGAGATATTTACAAATATATTTGAAATTTACTAATAGTCGAATTACAGTTGTAGATATCTTGAATTTGATTTTTGACGAGTCAAAACTCAGAGATATCTGCAAATATTTTTCAATGGAAGTCAATGGAGGAATATGACTAGTCATAATATATTTGCAGATATCTCCAATCTGATTTCGTACTAGTACAATTGTAATTGCAGATATCTCTAATTGTCATTCTGACTAGTCGAATTATAATTATGACTTGTCAAAATATATAATTATATCTCTAAATATATTTATGGATAGTCAGAACAAGGTTTAAATGTTAAAACGGCTTGCCATACGCTCTCACTCAGCAGCACAGTGGAAATTTCTCTAGTTATATCCTTTCAGTCGTTTGTTATGCAGTGACATGCAGTCAAATATTTATCCAAACAGTCCTTGGGGATGCGGGGACACGCAGTCAGATATTTTACCGAACAGATCCGCCACTTTTGGCGCTCATAAACAATCATTAAGCTCTCGTGCTGCAGGAATGAGGAGGTCTGCTGAAGGCGCGCAGCTGGCGTGCTGTGAGGAGTTCTCGTCTTTAATAAACTACGGCAGTTTGCGATCACTGAACAGTAAGAATGATTAATAATCCATATCAAACAGTCCCTTAAAAATCACGTCTCGCTTTCGGTTTTGGGCTTTGGCGCGTTTCGCGCTCACATACAAGCGTACCGCGCCAAAGCCCAAGTGTACCGCGCTCAGGCACACCTCTTCCAACCGGGCCAGGGCCGGCCAAGTGAACCGTGCTTGAGCGCGATTCAGTGCACTCACACTTCTCAAACGATCCGGGAAACGGGCCTGGGCACGGTACGGATGGCATAGTGTGAGTAGGCCCTCAGTTTCACGTGAAAGGTCTTAGTGGCCTCTTCAATGGGCCTGAGGAAAATTTGCATACAGAAAAAGCGATGACATGAAAAGGGATGACACTAATCATAGTCTAAGACCAGAGTTGTCCAAAATCTCATTTTATTAATGCGGTTGATTTTTTTTTTTAAAATAGTCTTTCTTAATCATGCCTATATTTCATTTTAATCTCCTCGTAAAAAGATGAAGGATGCAAGACCTTTTAAAATGAGACCTTACAACGTGTATGCCTTTAAAGCCCTGAGGAGGGCAGCAATGCGCCTTCATGATTCCAGTTTACCGCAAATATCAAAAGAAGAGGATGGTTGTAAACAGACCCGACGATGTTAGATCAATATTTGATTTGCACTTGAGTCCTTAAGTATTGTTCAAATTATTAACAGTGTGTATCAGCAAATCTCTGAATGAGTATTATTAAACATATCCCGTGTTTCTTCTGTGTCTCACAACTTAATCATAAGTGTCGTGTGAACAAGTTAATTAAACTTTCTGAACTGTGTGACCAATATTAGGTTAAATTAGAACATTATTTACTCACTTGTAATAGGTTCTCCATCTGTTTCCCTGCTGAAAAATCCAGCTTATACCAGCCTAGGCTGGTTAAACTAAATTGGCCGTAGTATGCTGGGTTGCAGATTGAAGGGCATCCGCTGTGTAAAACATATACTGGATAATTTGGCAGTTCATTCCACTGTGGCGACCCCTGATGAATAAAGGGACTAAGCCGAAAAGAAAATGAATGAATTAAATATTTATTCAAATGATGTATTTTGTGTTTTGCTGTATTTTAAGATGCATTTATTCAAGTGATGCAAAGCTGAGTTTTCAGCATCATTACTGCAGCAGTCTTATTAAGAAATCTTTCTAATATGCTGATCTAGTGATCAATTATTATTCACTATTATCAGTTCTCAGATATTAAATATTAGTAATACGGAAACTGATACATTATCAGTCATAGGTTTGCAGTGAAGTGGCAGTAAAGACATTTATAATATAACATCCTCATGTACAGAATGATAAACATATTGCTCAGTTAATTAATAATAAAAACAACAAGTCTTTAGGTTAAGGATGTGATCAGATTCACTGAACAACTGTGATAAAAAGAAACCATGTAATAAAATAAGAAGACTCAGAAGGAACGACCAGAAATTAATGATGTTATTGAGATGACAAAATTAACAGGAACACATTTGGTGTGGATTTCTGTGCATTACATCATCTTCAGGCTGAGTGTCGTTTAAGATGCATTTCAAAGCTGTATTTATAGGGGAAAGTCTTCCCACAGTGTGGACAGGAGTAAGGTCTCTCTCCTGTGTGAATCCGCATGTGTTTCAGCAATGAAGTGCGCCGTGTGAATCCATTTCCACACAAAGAGCAGCTGTGCTTTTTTTCTGAATGACAGTCATTGATGTGTCGATACAGATCAGAATGACTGAAGAAGCTTTTGTCACACTGAACGCAGGGGAACGGCCTCTCACCTTTGTGTTTATTTAAATGGCTTCGGAGAGCTGTGGAACCATGAAACTTCTTCTCACACTGATCACAGCTGAATTTCTTCTTGCGTTTGCGTTTGACACCAGTATGAACGCTGATGTGCAGTTTAAGCCAATCTTGACGTTTGAACCCTTTCCCACAGATTTCACAGACGTATGGCGTCTCTTCTGTGTGTATTCGCATGTGACGCACCATATTTGAATTATAAGTAAACTCAAAACCACACAGCTTACAGACAAACTTTTTACCAGGGGTTGGAGATGTGGAGATGGGAAGCTCATCTTCTGTGTCAGTATCTGGTGAACTTTGATCTGATGTTTCATCAGTTTTTACTCGATATTTCAGCCGTCTGCAAAAGAGAGCAGCCGATCCTTCTGTTTTACTCAGAACCAAAGTTTCTACATCATTATAAGTGGATTTGGACTCTGGATCTCCCTGATAAGACTCTTCATTGTTGATCACAGGCTTCATATTGATGCAGGCTGGACTCCAACATCTAATGAAACAGATTAGAGAGAAGAAAGCATTCAGAGTTATTCTTCAGCTGTGTTTCTCATTACACACTGATTTATTAAATATGAGTAATAAACCCTGCTGGAAAAAAAACAGCTTAAACCAGCCTAAGCTGGTTGGCTGGTAGACCAGCCAGGTTTGCAAGGGTTTTGGCCGTTTCCAGCCTGGTCTTAGCTGCTCAGGCTGAAAAATGACCAGCTAAAACCAGCCTGATTTAAGCTGGACATAGCTGGTTTTGGCTGCGCTCCCAGTCTGACCAGCTAAGACAGCCAAAACCCTTCTAAAACCAGGTTTTAGCCAGCCAACCAGTCTAGGTCGAAGTCTGAACACTTACTTAATATCAAAGGTTGTAACACAATAAATGTAGTTTGTGTGAAAATAAACAAGTTATTAGGCATCAGTGATCTACAACCTATCTATTATCTACAAATAGAGCTTAGAGCACCAATGGTAGATTTTGTTTGTAGATGCAAGTATGCACACATTGTTATATAGGAAACAAAAAATTGCACATGGACCTCACTCATCAAAATAATCCATCATTGTGGATTGCTGAAACAAACTTATTTTGAGTCGTGTATGAACTGTTGTGTTGGTCTGAGTGAGTTTTGTAGATGAGCTGAACTGTATAGAGGTAAAGTTGGTTTTATATTCGGATATTGAATAATAAATGAATAGCTCTTTATATTTTAGATATATTGATAATATTATAGATTGGTTTGGCAAAAGTTCATTACACCTAAATATTGGGAAAACAAAAGAGTTATGTCTGGGGAGTCAAACCAGAAGAGTAGATACTGGACTCTTTAAACCAGTCACCATAAACGGACAAATAGTAGAGCAGGTTTCAAATTTCAAGTATTTAGGCACAATTATTGACAATAAATTGAATTTTAATAGTAATGTAGAGGCGGAAAGCAAGTCAGCGCCTCTATCTCCTCCGCAAATTGAGAAGTTTTAATGTTAGTACACAGACTTTAAACTTGGCATATAGATCACTTATAGAGAGTGTTCTCACATATAATATTGTTTCATGGTTTGGTAACACAACACTTAAACAGAAAAAGAAATTAGCGCAAATTATCAATCAGGCAAATAAGATAACTGGTCACAAACATCATTCATTGCAGATTTTATTTGACTCTTAT